AAAAAACCGCATCAAAATCCGTTGCGTAGTTTTAAAGATTTAAGCATACATATGGATATAGGGACAGAGGAAGCGACTTTGTTGTATACTGTGTGGTGATAAAAACGAAAAGTCATTCGCTCATTCATCACTGAACACTCAGAAACTGCAAGTTCTAGGAGTTTCAAATTTACCATGCGGGTTCTAAGACGGGATTTTACGAAATTCACCTATAAGCGGGTAAATTATGGGATGAAAGTTATTAAGGAATTTTAACTAGAAGGCTAGTTGGATATAATTACAAGGACTTTTGTTATTACAAAAAAGGTTAAAGAATTAATAGTCTTTACTTAACTATAATTGGTTTGATTCGTGCCATCTATTTTATTAACAAAGTGAGCTTACGAAGCGGCAATATCGGTCAAGTGTTAGCACAACGCTACCAATCATCAGATTACTGTCCAACGACTGACCGCGACGGTGTGCATTCAACAAGATCGTCAATGACATCTGAAAAAACTTTTTACTGTATAATAATGGTACAGAGTTTTTATGTTGATCGAGACCGGTGATAGTGGTAGTCGTTTGGCGTCATTTAAAGGAGGCGGCCGACGTTTAGTACTTCGCTTTTTATGTGAATAGGAGATAAAATTTACCTAAGTTAGGTAAATTTTATTCTAAAGATAAGCCGCTTAAGAATTGAGCAGAAGTCGTGGGATATGATTATTCTATCGGTGCTCATTTAAGAGCGAACGAAATGAATATCCAATTACTTTCTCTACCGCAGTAAACCGATACTACTTATGTCAAGGCTATAATTAATTGAACATGTGTGGGTATCCTAATCAAAATGGGTCTATGATAGTGGCAAAATTGTTTCCAAAATAGCTCCAAATATTGTGGTTTATGGTTAGGATCAGTTTGTTAAATAATATTTTTATTGTTAGGATATATTAATATCTCAGTAGTTTTGAATGTTATTGGGTACTACAAATTACACGGGATCCGTTGATTGGTCAAAAAGGAATGGGTCACGACTGTTGTTTATTCTATTCTGTCCCTTCTGTTCTGCTTTTGAATTTATGACGTTTTATGTGTGTATAGTTTTTAAAACTTTTTCAATGGAGCAGTTATTCAGTAGTACTTAATAACATTCCAAACTACTGGACTTGTTTTTTTCTTTTTAGTTTTTAGTGAAAGTTATATATATTCTTTCCACTTATTTCTTTTGTTTTCACGCAGTCGGATTTTTGTTTTTATAATAAAAAAAATGTTTTACACTTTTTAGTTAGTTCTCATTGACTTCGTTATTGGAACTATAAGACGGTAAATCTCGAAACCTTGTCATTTCATTGAGGGAGTTTAAATCTTAAGGATTATTAGGCGACTTGCGATGGTCCAAACGACAGATTTTAGGCCTTCTAGAGACCTCACCCTGTTCAAAGCTACATATACTTGCCCTAAAGCTAAAATTCGCGAACTTAAGTCAACCACAGCTCGGTCCAAAGTAGTTCTTGGCATTTAAAAGCTTAATAATTTGGCTCACTGCTCACACTATACATTGAACAGCTCACTATATCTAAAAATAATCTTTGCCCACTTCTAATATTTTTGGAGGACCTATCCAACAATATCCCACACTATAGGGAAATCGAAAAAATAAAATATCATCCCCAATTAACATGTAGGGGAGGAATCCTAAACAAAAAAATTTTGATTACTGTTATGTGTTTAGTGACACTAGCAAGGTTAAGACAAATCGATTAACGTATACATTATCAAAATTGGTCAGGCATTTTGGTCTCTATAATGCAATATAGGAACATACATACATAGACTCATAAACACATTACCCTCCTTTGAGGGTAATAATAAGTTGGAAGCACAGCAATAAAATGTTATGTCGTGGAACTTGCACTGAACCGACATTTTGTTCAAATGATTGATGTAGCACCGGTTATCAGGCAGTGGCAGTGAGTCAGTTCAGCCTACAGCTAGCACTCCCCCCCCCCTCTCCCGTCCTGGTAGAGCGGCGGCGGATTATCTTCTAGAGCGGCTTATAGCACGCTCAAATAGTTAAATATATATGTCGCTCCTTGTACCTTACACAGGTATCGCTTTGAGTCGATGTTGGCACATCGACTGGAGACATCTTACCTGTATGCGGATTGTCCGTGACAAACAAAAGACAGACATATATACGATCTGTAGATCAGTGGAACAATTCTGACTTTGAAGGGATTGAAATAAGTTTAAAAAATTAAGCTTTAGAGTATTTATAGTTAAATTAAGAATAGTAATTAGAGCTTAAAGTAATTATTACACATTAATCAACGTTTGTGCAACTGGGTGATAGACTAATATGAAAGTAAGCATCTACGAGAGACGCAGCATTTTCACGTAATTATTCTCAATTAATTTATTTCACTGCCATTTAAAAAAATATTTGATAAACAAATCATAACAAACATAAAGAGAGAGAGAGAAAATAACACTAAGACACGTTAAGGCACTCGAGACTCGACTAATTTCAATGTAGTATTTATGAAGCAATTTTTTGTAAAGCATAAAATATATCCAGGTCGGGTGACTCCGCGTTAAGGTCGGTTTAAGTAGTACAAATTCTAACTAATGGATAATGAAGACCAAGATGTATATGGAGGCAATTTCAACTTACTTGTATTGGTTTTCTGCGATAATTACGCAGGATCAACAAGTCAAAACCCATCTTATGATTAATTATCTATTATTATGATTTTTGATTAAATCGTCCGAAAGTGCCGACAACACAGTCACAAAATGTTCTTCACGGACGGAAAGTTGTCGTTAATAAAAATTAAAAATAATATTAGATCTACACAAGAGCCTTGTGGCACACTGGATGAGCACGGTTTATAGCACCAAAGATGACTTCCAGATATGATCCAGTTGCAGAAACTACCTAAAGTCCTTTTGCTAAGTACAAATTAAACCAGGAAATCGTCAACTTAGATGAAAAAATTATAACTTACTCTATAAAATGCGAGGAATTGTCTACTTTATGTTCGGGTGATAAATGTCAGGCTTGCTTAATAAATGTAACGCATTTATCTAATTTATTTTTGATCCTTTAATATTTAAAGTATTTATATAATTATTTATTATTATGAAATCAATGGGTAATATAAAGGTTACCTCCAATACTTTGACGGTGTTAAATAGGATATATTTTTGTATGATGCCCAAATATTCACAATACGAAGATGTGATAAAAACTAGTTTTATTTTGTGTAATTTAATTTATAACAGGCACTAAATATATGTTAGATTTAACTAATCTAACTTTAGTATTTCATGTGAGGCAATCTGAAATAAAGAGGGCGTGAGGCGCGGACAGAGGCCGCTGCCGCCGCCGCGCCTGACGGCTCTAATTTTGGCAGCTCGAGACAAGTTGTCGATCGATGCCGTGTCTCACTTTAATATGTTAAAGCAATTTTATATTCAGAGCTAATTTATTTATAGTCGCACAATAATTATTAGTAGGTATAATATATGTTTGAAAGAAACGCGGTAAATTAACGAAACATGGTCATTGAAATATTAGATTGCATTGGAGAAAAAAATGGTAAAATATATAGGTATTTAGAACCCTGATTCATACATATGTAATGTATGATTCAGGATTTTAAGACGAAAGCTTCAAATATGAAGATAAGATGCAATCGTTAATTATAAATATTAAAAAGCTAAACAGAAGCATCTCTTGTTCAACATGTCTGTCTTCACCTTCAATGTCCACGTTGTCAGTTAGTGGCGATGTCATTCTTCTGCCGTCCTCGATAACTAAACGGTCAATTATGATAAATAGCATTCCGATGTTGAAGTGACCTCCTTGTTCTACACGAGTCGCGTCAGTACGCACAAAGAAAACCTTTTTGAGACGTGCCTATTTAATTACGTAACATTTGCAAATGTGTAACTCACAACGATGCCATTCTTTACTTAAACTTTTCGTTTTGATATAATAAATTAGTCTATAAATTTATTCAAGAAACTTAAATGAGCTCTTATTAAAAGACAAAGAATATTAATATATTTCAGTCTGTTAACTAGATTATAATTAACAGAATCAGACATTGGTTCATTACTTCCGACATAGATACTTTTATAGGACTAATTGCACTTAAATTACTCCATTGTCGACTAATAAGTTTTCATTAGCATACAAAAAGTTGTAGCGTTCGTTAGAGGACATCGTGGGGTAATTTGATACCGACAGTCGTGAATTGGCAATCATAAACTTGGAATTGAATCGTAATTTAGTCGAATGGAGAGTCCAGAGTTAGACGCGAGCGGGGTGGTGGTCGGTGGCGGCGGCGGCGGCGGCTTATTATGACCAATTAGGGATCGCCCGTCGATGAGCTGATGTCGATGCTCTGACGCTCGGGAACTTGACGCTGTGCTGCTATCACTGGAGTCATCGTTAAATGCATCATTTCATAAGTTAATAAAGTTGTCGGTCTAGAATAAATATAATAAACTAATATTACTTTCATTATTATTGAATCACAGAAGTTGTAACGTGTATGATATTTACTTTTATGACGATACTACAGCTTCGCAAAATACCCTCGGAATTGCGACAAACTCTTAACTACATTATCTTGTTGTAGCGGCAGCTTTGTCGGTGATCCTTATTATTGTTTAATAGTTTGCGAGTTAAATCTGGGTGTTTATATATCTAATTATAGTCGATAAACAATTACTATCTGTGCTTCTTGATTTCTGATTCTGTATTCTGACCAAAGAAACATTACAAAAAATGAATGAAATAAAAGGAAATCATTTCGGACATGACTATAATTCGGATATTTTCATCATCATATGCCTATTAATATCCCTTCTGCTGAGGCACAGGCATTCCTTATTTTTGTGATTATTTAATTTTTATTTATAATTTGCTACACGTAACAGCGGGCACTTACGACTGCCGATGCAAACAATAGTAAATATTAGTAATGTTTGTGGTTTGTGTGCGTCAGATGTACAGCGGCGCGCTGCTGGCGACGGCGGCGCGGCTGGCGTGGGACCCGAGCACATATTCTTGGTTCAGGTTCTTGTGCGAGGCGCAGTACCGCGTGTCCTGCGCGTACGTGCTCGCCGCGGGACTCTGGCTCGCGGGACTCGTGTACCTGGCCGCAGCTGCCGCCCACCGTGCCGCCGCCAACTGTCTGCGACTGGTTAGTCATATATAAATACACATACGTATTATCTAATAAATGTTTGACGTACGCCCACAAGAGCATTCCGTACACACGGCTGTACGTCAGCCTACCACAATATGTCAAATTTTTCTACAATTACATACTATTTATTTCTTATTTAGTAATATTAATATTATGTATTTGCATACCGAGTTTTGTTATCCATTAAAAATTTCATTAGTTTAAAGTGACATTACCAATACAAACCTTGACTTATACTTTTTTATTTAATATATAAAGATATATCTTATCATATCCTTCTGACCATTACACCCAAAGCCCCATATTTTCCCTTTCCTTTTATTATTCTCCTCCATAGATTGCCTGTAAGAGTTTGATGTTTAGCAATAAGGCCGCCTTTTGTGTACTTTGTATTGTTTTACCGTCTAATTTCGTTCAGTTTTCCTTATTATATTATTATTATTCATTAGAGCTTAAAGGCGTCATTAAACCTTAAAGGAGGTTTCTGCAACTACCGATAGATTGTCAGATTACCAGAACGTGAGATTAGCGGGCCGAGAATCAGGTTTCCTGTCCAGCTAGCGGCACGAAATTTTCCAGGTATATTGTGCTTCGAACTTTAGCAAGACAATTCGTCTTTACTGTGAGAAGAAGTTTAAATTCATCCAAAAAGCAAGTGATATTATAAAATACTCTTTCTATAATAATTTAAAAATATAAACTCTGTTTTTCTGTTCTGTTTTGCTAAGATATTTATCAATCAGTAAGATTAATTACGAAAATATTTTGTTCAAAAACTTTTTCAAAAGATAGAACCGATTTCAGCCGATTTCAGCCATAAAAAATCACGAATGATCTTAAAAGCGACTTATTCAAGGAACTGCTATTAAAGTCGGACGGTGGTTTTCTGTACATTATTAAATGATAGCCGCCCGACTTCAATAGCAGTTTCTGTCATAAGTCACGTTTAAGATCATTTATCATTTTTTTAAAGTTTGAAATCTGTTTTAACGTTTGTAAATATTTCAAAAGTTTATTTCATGTTTTTTAATTAATAGGTAACCCTAAAAATATTAAATATCTGTATAAAAATATGTCTTAATATTTCTGTCTAATTATCTATACTATTAAGAGGAAAGATTCGATTGTTTGCATGGAAATTGCGCTGCAACTATTGGACTGATTATAAAAAAATTGTCATCTACGGGAAACTAAATAATACGCGGGGGATATAAGCTATACGCAGGTGAATGAATGTTCACAATTCAAGAGTAAATCTACTTCCAGAAAACTAGCTTTCCGCCTGTGGCTTCTTCCGCGTGGTCCTTCGCGAACTGTTTAGTGGCATAAAAAGTAGCCCATATATTAATCGAGGCTTAAAATTTATTTTAATAATTCATTCAGATAAGGTTTCATATAATGATACGGATATATACTAAGACAAATTTAATGTTCAACAATAGATACTATGGTAACGTACTAATTCCCTATACAAACGTCTACTCCTATTTTTATCCCTTTATTTGCTGTTTTCAGGATTAAAATAGTCCATGTTCACCGCATATGACGCAGCTGCCCGCAGGTGAATTAGAAAGAATATTTAAAATCGGTCCAGTAGTTTCAGAGCCTAATCGATACTAACAAACATACATACATACAAACAAACAAACAATCAAATCTTTCCTCTTTATAATATTAGTATAGAAAATAACATAGCCGTTGAACATAAAAAACTCTTCTTTCGAATTTTGAAAGAATATTGAAGAATATTGGCTGATAATGAACATGACGTCATCAAAATATTTAGGTGATATCTGGTGTAGAGCGTACTTTGTTTTGTTATAAAAAATCATTCATCGGCGTCGAATATAATCCATTTGTCACTAAACGCAGTAGGTGCAGCGTCGAGTCTCGGGTCGCTCCACTTGTTCGCACAATAGTAAGATGCGAAGTCAAGCTTACGGGTGGTTATATACAATCAATAAATATAAAGTACATCCCTCTCGAGGAGAACATGCACACAACAAACGGGAACCACTTTGCTATCGATAAGATAAGATATTGTTGTCTGAAGCGTGGAGGCGCTGCGTCATAAGTTCGACGTTTTGAAATATCCCAACGCGACAGCAGAAAATACTTATAGACTTTGATTGAGTGCTTTTTAGCTTGAATATTGTACGCGGCTCATGCGACATGTTCGTGAATAAGTCCGCTCGTCCCCATTGGTAACTATTATTTTACTAGTTTTGTTTCATACGATTTCATATTAATTTTTTCCAACAAAAAAATTCAAAATCGTTGCAAATAGCGTAGCAAAAATGATTTACTGCGACCACCAAGAATTTCGTAGTCGTAGCAACCTGCTACATGTGCTACGAAATGCATTTATCTTTCTCTATGGCTACGTCTATTGTATTTTAAATCATAGTAAAAATGGTTTGCCGAGTTATGCGACGTTGTTATATTATTTATTTGTTTTACTGTTTGTTAAAAGTCTCCTTTGTAATGTTGATAACGTTTTAATATCCCACGATGAAACATTATTTAACAATAATATATTTATTTATAAATAAAGGACAAATATTAATAGGAACTTAATTATATGGTTATATTTTATTGATATTGCATTTACAATGCTACACTGGAAAATATCCTTAATGAAAAATGCATAAACAATCCACTCTGTCTCATTCCATGTCAGAGTACCAGGGACAGAGTAGATGTTTTAAGTATTTTTTATTAAGAATAATTATATGGCCTAAGTTATTTGTAATGGACTAAACTTTTATGTTGAATAAAGTATGTTTAAATGAATGCCAGGCGGTGACCCACTTCCGTCCGCGTACCGCGCGCGCTAATGATTCACTTGCAAAAATGCTGTATTCGATCATTACATCAACCAAACATTATAGCGTGTACATATTTATGTACAGTCAACAGCGCGTTTGTAATGTACAAAACTGCCAAATCTGATATATTGTGGTCACTTGACGTGTGTGTACCTTTTATAGCATAATACTCACATCGATGTTGTCTTTGTATTAAACTGGAGTAATAATATAAGGGGATGTTGCAGTACGCAGCCGGGGTGGCGTGCCTGGCCGCCAGCGAGGTGGCGTACGGCGCGTGGATGGCGGCGTCGCTGGCCGCGTGGTGGCGGGACGCGCCGCAAGCGGAGCTCGCGCGGCGGGGCATGGACCTCATGCACGACATCAAGCCCGCGCTGCTCGCCATCGAGCGGTACAGGGAGTTCGCGCGACCGGTCTATGACATGATCGAGGTAAGGCTCGTGTTCGGGCGACGCCATTTGTACTAATTGTGCAGTTACATTTATCATTTTTATCGAAATAGGATAATAAATTTGTGCTTAAAAATTATGAAATATTTACTCCTTATGAATAATTATTCAGGTGAATTTTTTTTATAATGATATCATCGTAGATAGGAGAAATTTTCAGTTAACTTACAGCTATTTTAGTTTTTGTGTAAATAAAATTTCAAACCCGCTACCGAACTATAAGACTAAATATAAGAGACAACATTTTATTTTCATTTGTTTAGAGCTCCAGAAGCTCAAAAAAGTGCCATCGCGCATTTTATGAAAATCTTTCAAAAGTAAAGCACAATTTACAAAAAGCGAAGCCGCTATGAACTATGCCAATAGTTATTCTGCACTATTCAATAAGTCAAAATTAGAAATATTTTTTTGAATTCCGAGATCAAGAACATCAAAATCACAGTCAAAATGTAATAGGGCCGTTAAGCGCTTGTTAAATGACAAAGGATAGAACTTTTTAAAGCTGACGTACACGTGGCGGCGCGTTAAATAATAAAATAACCGCCCCAAATAAGTAATGTAGTAGGTATGGAATGCACTAGTATGCAAATAATACACGTTCGATGAATGTGCTTCCTTAGCAGTTACTTATCACGTACCCTTATATCCCCCTCTTAGATTTAAGTAGTATATAAGACGAAGATTGTTTAGTTATTTCTCCCGACCACGCTGACGCTATTTCAGTAAAAATGTACTATTATAGATTACAGTTAGACATAGAATATATCAAAATGGCCAGTTTGAGTTTAGTTATTAGCTTCCCTAAGTAACGCTATCGATCACTTTTGGTGTTGACTCTGTATGAAATATAATAAGGAGAGAAACAGCAACAGTCTGGGGCTCACATCAGAGTCGCAGTACATATAATGTTTATACGATACTGCACAAACCGTACATGGAAATACACATAGGCATTGAATTGGCCTTAATGCGTTTTGCTAACTTACATGGTGCGAATTCTCGGACCTTGTGAGGTCCCTTATTTAATGTTGTCGTTCCTCGTAAAAGTAATCGTAGTGTACATGAACATATGGCACCTTAATCTGATATTTACACATATATGAAATGCACAGACGCAAAATATTCTATTAAAATAATTCAGAGGAGCCCCGAGAGACGCAGACAGACACCAAAGTGTAATCCTAGGTTAAGTGGCGCAAAACTATAAGACTACAATATTTCGACAAATGTAATCAATTTGTTTGGTAAATATTTCGATGGACATTAAAATCAGATCAGATTTTTAATTTCCCTACAAAAACATTGCGCTGTGTCGTGTCAGTTGGAGGGATTACAGGTATGTTGCCGACAGTACAAAGAGAGCGCTCATTAACGTTTGTTATAGCATCGTGTACAGTAATAAATATAAATTAAAACTTTTAATTAAATACACTCTAATAAATTTATTTGAATAAAAAGACCCTGGTTGGCTGTATCATTGATACAGCCATATTTTATGCGTGGATACGTCTATGTATGAATGGATATATGAGTAATTGATAAAAAATTAAAAGAGTTTTAGTTTGATTTTCATCGTATAGTTTTGTCGACTCTAGTAAACAATCTTCTATAATATGAAATTATTTAACATGAATTAACTAATAATATTTTAGCAATTGTTTGATTTAATATAGGCAACATAATTTTAGTTTTACGAATGTATTTAAAATGCCTAATATATTTATATTTCTTAAATTAACATTATTGTTGATATTTAAAAAATTCACCAGTTCCAGATACACTAAGATGGGATTCGATAAAATTCGGTTGAAAAAGATTTTTATGATTTTCGATACCATTTACTTTTGCAGTGCGTTTTTGCTTTTAACAAAGCACCCTACATTTATTTATTCTACCCATATTTGTTTCTTTGTAAAAATAAACTTATATAAAGAATTAAGTAAATAAAAATAGAAGAAGAAATACTATTCAATTATAATTATGTTTAAGTACCTACAGTAGGTACTTCAACAGATTTTTTTTATAATATGATTGGTAATGTATATCAAACATGTAACATGCAATTAAAACATAACTACATTAAAACATGCAATACTCTCAAATGCTTAACCAAATATTAGCATACGATTATGTGCTAATAAATAGTATTTGATTAAATCATATACGAATATTGTATTCAGTTTTAAAAAGTTTTTTTTTATATTTCGCCATTTATTAATATGTCAATTTATAACGAATGAAAAAAATCGTTCGTAGTGTAAAAATTAAAGTGTAATCAAGTTATCGATTATTATATACATTACAAGTAGAACATCCTTAACAGCTTCATGTACGACATGACAGTAAAGATGTCGGCGATTTATTGTAAAATATTCATGCTTGTTCATATTGGGGCCATTTTCGACGATGTCCTTTACTTGAATTTGCACGAATTTATTTATTTTTATTTAAAGATTAGCAAATTCACTCAAAAATATTTTACATTTTATTGCTAACGCATATAAAGCTATATTTACGTGTTCGTAGATGGATGTGTACATATGCATACGTATGGCATAAAGCTATTTTTTATTTATTTATTGTATTATATTTATTGTATTGTATATTATAATGATACCTTTTGAATAATTTTTCCAGATTTGTCAATTATATATGCCGTAAAATCTGCTTCTTTAAAATGTTTTTCACAAACATAAAAATTTTCACCAACATCCAGGTTAGGAACACATCACGAATAGCTTTTAACCACTCTTCACGTCTATCAATGTTCTTTGGCACTCTAAAAACTGAACGATTCGCTTCTCCAAAACAACCCGGAATTATGCAACGTTGTGGCATAATTGCATTTATAAATGAATAATTCAAAAAAAATAAATAAACAAATTGAAGACACTAAACACTAAATAAATAAATATTCGTTGCGTTCATTTGTTGAATGAAAAAAGTATTCACTAGCGCCAACAGATGGCGTTAGTGCATATACTCCTGCTGACAGAATGCCCCTCCCCCTGCAGAGCAAGCATAGTTCACTTATACGCCAATAGATGGCGTTAGTGCATATACTCCTGCTCACAGAATGACCCCCCTGTAGAACGAAAACATAGACGTATCCACGTCAAAAAAATAGTATGAAATGAAATTAACTATTCTTAATACAAAATGCTTTAAAAATCCACTTGGTCCCTGGCACCCTGAGATGGGAATCGAACCTATGACCTTTCGCAATCCGAGCGACTGCTCTAACCGCTGAGCTACCCAGGACCTACGAATCTTTCAAGCACTTGTTACTTTACGCTACTACAGAGCGCATTCTCATCAATGTTCAGGCATCCACCAGCCAGGGCGAAATTAATCAAAATATAATGAAATTAACTAGTAAATGATCAATTGTACGATATGGACACGACATGTATATCATGTTTAAAATGAATGAATAAAATAATTTGAATGCTAATAATAATTTTATTTTACTTACCATTTTATTTTCTAAATTACCAGACCACTTGTTTTATTTTTTATATGAAGTCCTCCTCTCCCGTAAATGTTGCTGTTAGATCCTGATAATATTATGTTATAACATCTATGTTCACTACATTATAGTTTGCAATAAACATTTGAGTAATTAATTTTCACTCACAACAGTCTGATGTCATTACAGGAGGTGGAGCGCGAGGCGCCTAATAACGCGTACGTGATTATACTATTCGGAATTTTGGGCGCCGTGCTGCAGGTGATTAATAATAATAGTATATTCTATATATTTTCGTTTAAAAATTATGTGTACTGCTCGCATACACTCGTACATCGGTCATATGCACCTGTGCATATACATACACAACACATCGTCGTCGAGTCGTCGATATGGTCTAATAGTTATCCCTCATAAAACTCAGGCAATTATTATTAGAAGCCATCGGTATCAGGCGAGAATAAATTATGGAGCACTACGTCCAATCTTATTAAATGGTGTTCGTATACTGTTCAAATTCATTATTTTCTTATATAGATGTAAGATTTCCCACGTCCATCAATAGATGACGTTGTGCGATTTGGCATCGCGGTAGTAACTTTATTTCTATTATTTTATATAATTGTTAGCCTTATGAAATACTGATGGTCGCGTTTTTGAACCACGGCGGTGGTAATACAAAGTAGTTCCTAGTATGTGTGTTTTATTGTTTACTAGCGCCCCCTATAGTGAAGTTTTTTGTGTTATACAAAATTTGGTGCCGAAACCCGGGAATAATTAAAAATCTGTGGTAGTGGTGAGTGAAAAATAAGTGAAATTTGGACCTTAAAACTGTAAGTAAAAAGACTTAGAAAATTTAATCAAATATTTGGACTTGTAAAAATTTCAAATAAATTCATGGACTTAGAATAGTTTCGCAAAAAGTGTTCAAACGTGGAATCTATGCCAAAAAAATATTCAAATGTAATAAATTTAAAGACTTAGAATAATTTGTGCAGAAATCGTCTTTGAAATAAACATATTTTTGCTGTATACATTTCGATCATATTTCTAAATAAGTTGCAATAATGGAAGTACAGAAACTGACGATTATACAAGAAGATAGATTTCAAAAATTAGTAAAAGCTGAAATCAATTATAAGAAAAGTCCAAAGGATAGAATTACTTTAGGATATTTAGAAGCGAGATTGGAAACTTTAGATAAGTTGTGGAATGACTTTGAAGAGACACATACAAATATTATTACGTCTGTTAAGGCTGATGAGCGCGGTACTCTAGCCTACTTCAAAAATAGTATTTATGACCAATTCGAAGAAAATTACACCTATTATAAGGGTACTTTGAGAGAAGCGCTTCGAAAAATAAGTTCAACGCTCATTCAATCCAATCTGAATAAAACAACTTCTTGTGATGTCAAATTGCCTAAGATACAATTACCCAATTTTAGCGGTAAATACAGCGAATGGCAGTCGTTTCATGACCTATTTACGTCAGTTGTACACAATAATAACAAAATATCTTCTGTTGAAAAGCTGCATTATCTAAAGAGCGCCTTAACTGGCGAAGCAGAAATCTTAATTCGTAATTTGCCAACAACAGAACTCAACTATGAATCAGCATGGGAAAAGCTCACCACAAGATACAACAACAAACGATACAATTGTAATGCAATTCTTAGAACATTATTTGCACAGAAACAAATTGATGTTGAATCAGCAAATGCTATCAAGGGTTTACTGGACGTAACATCTTCCTGTTTGACTTCATTAAATAATCTCAACATTCCTACAAGTTCATGGGATCCCATTATCATATTCATGGTTGTGTCTAAATTAGACCACGAATCACTACGACAATGGGAACTAAATATTAGCGGAATTCCAACGAATGGGCTTCCCACTTGGAATGATTTAGTTGTATTTCTAGAATCACGATTTCGAACGTTAGAAATGATTGACAGTAATAAACCAATGCAAAGAACTCCTCAGCAAAATTTTAGACGACCAGAAAAGGTAAAATCATTTGCAACTGTACATGATGAAAAAAGTGATATGAAGTCAAAATGTACCATGTGTTCAGGGAATCATTTTCTATATCAATGTAAGAATTTTGGCCAACTTTTACCAAATGCGAGACTAGACTTTGTACAAACAAAGTATTTATGTTTCAATTGTCTTGCGCCCACTCACTCAGTTAAAAATTGTCATCAATCTACGTGCTGCCGCAGATGTGGTAGAAGACACCACTCATTACTGCACGTCGATAAGCAAAACGTTCAAGGGCCCGTAAATAATTCAGAAAATACACACACTACACCAAAACGACCCACAGATGAGGATAAAACTACATCAACCGATCGAGAAGTAAAGATTGCTGCTAATTTTGTCAAAGAAGATGAAACAATTGATCGGCCACATGTTTTGTTGGCGACAGCAGTCGTCAGAGCATATTCACGTAGTGGTCAATCGAACCTACTTCGTGCATTAATTGACCAGGGATCTCAAGGATCTTTTATTTCAGAAGAAATCGTCCAGTTATTAGGTCTTAAGCGTGTGCCAGTAAGTGGTTGCGTGTCAGGTTTGGGAGATGGTCAATTAAAAATCAAATACATGGTGTCTCTCTGTATAGAATCAAAGAGGAATTCAAATGATTCAATTCAGGTTACTGCGTACGTATTAAAATCACTTGTCTCACGAATTCCTTCTACTAAAATTCCATCACCTAATTGGTTAGAACTTGAGAACCTTTCACTAGCCGATTCAGGATTTGCATCACCAGGCAAAATAGATCTTTTGCTTGGAGCTGAAGTTTACTGTCAGATATTGTTAGGTGATATGCGTAAACACCCACAAGGAAATTTACTAGCTCAAAATACAATTTTTGGGTGGGTTATTTCAGGTAGAGTATCACCATCAGCTTTAGCAACGAGACCGTTAGTAAGTTTACATGTTCAAATCAAAGAAGATAATTTACTCAAAAAATTTTGGGAGTTAGAAAATGAACCGAATACAATTAAAAGGAAATTATCCAAAACAGAACAAATATGTGAAGAATTTTATGAAGCTTCAACATTCAGGAACAAAGAAGGAAGATTTGTGGTAAAGCTACCTTTTAATAGTCAAGACCCAGAATGTCAATATGGAAGACTGAAAGATATTGCACAAAGAAGATTTCAGCTGCTCGAAAAAAAGTTTCAAAAAATTCCAAATTTTAAAGAAGAATACTGCAAAGTGATTCAAGAATATTTGGATTTAAATCATATGGTGAAAATCGAAGATGATGCGGTCGATTCAAAGGCAGTCTACCTTCCTCACCATGCTGTAGTAAGGGAAGATAGGGAAACGACTAAATTACGTGTTGTATTTGACGCATCTTGCAAAGGCGTTAACGGTGTATCGCTGAATGACAATCTTCTTGTTGGTCCTAGACTACAAGAGGATTTGAGGCACATTTTAATGCGATGGCGCAAATTTCCAATATGTATTGTAGCAGATGTCGTAAAGATGTATCGACAAGTGCGAGTAAATCAAGAAGACACACGTTTTCAGAGGATAATTTGGAGAGCGAACCCTGAGGAACCCTTTGGTCATTATGAGTTACTCACACTTACTTTTGGCACTGCCTGTGCACCTCATTTGGCCGTGAAATCACTGCAACAGTTAGCGGATGAAGAAAAATACAATTACCCTATTGCAGCAGAAATTGCAAAGCGTGATTATTTTGTTGACGACCTTATGACTTGCTGTCTCACGGATGAAGAGGCTATTGAAATCTACAATCAAATGAATAATATGCTAAAATCCGGTGGGTTTCAGTTGCAAAAGTGGAGTAGTAATAGTAAAAAATTACTACAATTTATTGATCAAAATAATCAAAATGATTCTCATTCAATCGACATTAGGACAGATAATATGGTCAAAGTTCTCGGTATTTGTTGGAATAGAAATACCGATGAGTTTCAATACACAGTGGATTTACCTGAGTTAAGCCTGACACCTACGAAGCGAAAAGTGTTATCAGATGTAGCTAGACTTTATGATCCTATGGGCTGGATTGCGCCAGTTGTGGTCTTGGCCAAAGTACTTATCCAGAAATTGTGGAAGTTAGGGTTGCCGTGGGATGATGAATTGCCACAAGAAGTTTTGAATGACTGGCTTAAATACAGATCAGATTTAATGCAAGTGAAAAATATCTTAATTCCAAGATGGATTCATTTTATTAATGATTGTGAAATCGAACTGCATGCATTTGCGGACGCTTCCCAATTAGCTTATGCAGCAGTAGTTTACTCAAGAGTGATAAATAAAAATGGTGACGTTTACATAAACCTTATAACTGCAAAAACTAAAGTTGCGCCAATAGAGAAGGAACTTTCGATTCCCAGATTAGAACTTTGTGGCGTAGTTTTGGCAACAAAATTATTGTATGAAGTTTCGCAAGTTATGAAAGTGCCAAAAGAAAGACTTTTTGCATGGTCAGACTCAACTGTTGTGTTGGCGTGGTTACGTGGATTGCCATCACGATGGACCACCTTTGTTAGCAATCGTGTATCTGATATTCTAAATATTTTAGATAGCGATCAAATCAGACATGTAAGCACAAAAATGAATCCCGCTGACTGTGCTTCTCGAGGTTTACAACCGTCAGCCTTAAAGAAAGAAAACCTTTGGTGGAAAGGGCCTGCATGGCTTCATCAACATACTTTTGATTTACCCACATTACAGTACAATACCGAAGAAGAAATGAGGACAAGCAAATCGTCGGGAATCATGACTTTTTTTACGGAAAAGAAAAGTGACATAAACAAACGGATATTAGAAAAGGAAAAGGAATTTATATGGAGCAAATATTCATCACTGAGAAAGATGTTAGGAATTGTGTCATATGTTAGAAGATGGTTAAATGTAAAAACAAAAGTTTCATCAGATAAAGAAAAGTATCCAAATTTTATTACTGTGAAGGAAATAAATGAATCTTTGGAAGTATGTATTAAACAAGTTCAAGATTTGAATTTTAGAGAAGAAATTAAACAACTAAAATTATACGGAAGTGTAACTAAGAAATGTGCACTGTATTCTCTCTATCCCTTTTTAGATGCAAAAGGGCTTCTGAGAGTGGGTGGCCGCATCGAAATGGCAAATATAAGTTACGATGAAAAACATCCGTTAATAATGCCTGAAATAAGTCATCTTACCCAAAGCGTTATTGATGACGCACATAAATCGACAATGCACGGCGGCCCTCAAGCTATGCTTGTTTACCTAAGAAACCGATTTTGGATAATACGCGCTAGACAGCAAGTTAAAAAATACTTTCGACGTTGTGTCACATGCATCAGATATTCTCAAAGAAAGAATACTCCTTTGATGGGTCAATTACCCGAGGTGCGTTTGCATCCAAGTAAAGTTTTCAAATCATCTGGTGTTGATTATGCAGGACCAATCAACATTAAATTTTCTCCAGGAAGGGGAGCAAAATCCTACAAGGGCTACATATGCCTATTTATTTGTATGGTGACTCGAGCCATCCATATTGAAGCCGTATCCGATTTAACTTCAAAAGGATTTATTGCCGCATTTCGAAGATTTGTTGGACGTCGAGGTCGTTGTTTGGATCTTTACTGCGACAACGGTACTAACTTCGTTGGCGCAGAAAGGGAATTAAGAGAAATATTTGATACAGCGAAATCTCGAATGCCTCAAGAGATAGCGGAACTGTTAGTTCAGGAAGGGACAACGTTTCATTATATACCACCTCACAGTCCCAATTTCGGTGGGTTGTGGGAAGCCGGAATACGTTCAACCAAAACTTATTTAAGAAAGGTAATAGGTGATAATACATTGACTTACGAAGAGCTATCTACTGTATTAATCCAAGTTGAATCATGCCTTAATTCGCGTCCGTTAAGTCAATTAAGTGATAATTCTATAGACTCTCTCCCGTTAACACCTGGCCACTTCCTGGTAGGTGAACCACTTATTAACATATGTGATGACTTTAACTGTAACGAAACCAAAAATGTAACTACATTAGATAGATGGCGACTAGTTCAAAAAATGACAAATGATTTTTGGTCGCGTTGGTCTAAAGACTATTTATTAAACTTAGATAAAAGATATAAATGGAGTATAAAAAAATCTGAAGTAGATATTGATGATGTTGTTGTAATACGTGAGGAGAATTTGCCTCCTACTAAATGGATTCTTGGTAGAATTGTACAAAAACATACTGGCAAAGATAATGTCACACGAGTAGTCACTATAAAATGTAAAGATAAATTGTTAAAGCGCCCTGTAAGTAAGCTTTGTCTTTTGCCTAAATAAGATGTGTTGTTCCAAGTTTATTTACATTTTTTATCTCTCTACTAAAAGTGACTGTTTTTATTTTTTCATTTTTTCATGTTTTATTGTTTCGAATTTAAAAGTTTTATTTTTAACTCCACATTTTGTCACGGTGGGCGGAATCTGTTGAACTATACTTATTTTTAATGTTAGAATAGTGTGTAGCATTTTATAAAAACTCGTAATTACTAATATTTTTTGAATGAAATATTGTTTAAACTGAAGGACAAGTCCTTGGTGGGCGGAATGTTCAAATTCATTATTTTCTTATATAGATGTAAGATTTCCCACGTCCATCAATAGATGACGTTGTGCGATTTGGCATCGCGGTAGTAACTTTATTTCTATTATTTTATATAATTGTTAGCCTTATGAAATACTGATGGTCGCGTTTTTGAACCACGGCGGTGGTAATACAAAGTAGTTCCTAGTATGTGTGTTTTATTGTTTACTAGCGCCCCCTATAGTGAAGTTTTGTGTTAAACATATACCATTTCAGGATACGTTTAGAAATCTTGGGGACATAATTGTTTGCTACTTATCTTGGAGCCAACATGTCGGAGAGGTCAGTAGGAGGGTGTTTGGCGCCTACAACTGTCTCAAACGATTTAAAAAACTACTGCCGACTAAAACTAAAATTTCTCTTGCGCAGTCCCTTCTTCTCCCGTTACTCGATTGTGCTGATGTATGTTACTCTGACCTAAATGTTGTCCTCCTGAATAAACTAGAGCGTCTCCAGAATTTATGTATACGTTTCATATTCATTCCTTCATTCTGTGTGTGCTTTAGGAGTTGTACGGTAGAGCTGATTCGATTTTCCCAGGTGGCAGCGTTCGTAATGGCGTGCCGGCTGGCGCGGCGGCCGCTCGCGCACGAGGCGGCGGAGGGCGTGTGCGGCGCCTGCGCGGTGCCGGAGAAGCGGCCCTGCGCGCGCGCCTGCGACGACGACAGCGACGGCGACCGCGACCCGCCACCCGGCTGGCGCAAGCGGGCCAACATCGGCATGTACACCATCCTCGACAAAATTTTCTAGCAGGTCAGAGTTCGGACGATATTTCACCTCAGTTTTTATATGCGGGAAGCTCCCGGGACGAACATTGCGCCGCGTTTTGAATCAACAATTTAAAGCACTCTCGAACGCCTGAACAGTTTTTGATGGTGACGCTTTCGTATTACTCGTTTGCGATGACTGGTAACCGGGAGTCGTGGTTCCAGGACGCCGAAGCCGCGGGGGAAGCTCGATCTCCGTCGCCGCGGGGGCGGGGCCCGCGGGGTCGCGCGCCGCGTCGTCCGCCTCGCCAGGGCGCGGCGCCGGCGGTGTCGCCTCGCGAGTGGGGGGGCGTGCAGGCGCAGCTGCTGGCCGCGCGGCCGCTGCGCACGTTCGCCGCCGCGCCCGCGCCCCGCCCGCCCCGCGCGCCGCGCCCCTCCCGCGCCCCGAGACCGCCCACGCCCACCGCGCCCCCCGCGCCCGCCACTCTGCTCATCTTGCACGCCGACATCTAGCCTCGAGCCGAACTCGGATGCGCCCGATCGGTAGCTGAAGGATGCCCTCGAATCGTAGGATATTTAATCCCACCCGAAATTCCCAGAGAACGAGGGAACTTCGTCTCGCAAAAAAATAAACATACCTAGGGATGTATTGTCCTCGGTCGCTTTCTGGTGTACCGGGTCGCATAGTTTATGTCCCGGGAAGAGAAATTCGAACGTTCTCAGCTCGATTTTTTTATGTGGGAGTTATATCGTTTTCTGTTTGTCGTCAGTTAGAATTCGATATCGTCGTTCGGAACTCGAATCTGGACGATCAATAGAGAGCTTGAGTGCCGACAATCCAGCGGCGTGTATGCGTGGAGATGTGTTTTTCGAATTTATATCTTACCGATTAGTTTTAGCATTTTATTTAATACGAGAGAGTCGCCGCGTCGCCGCTCCCCGGCGATCCGAATTTGTATGTGAGCGACGATAACGTCGTCCCGAAGACGATGGTTTCCTGAACTCTTGTCTTTGTTTTTGTAACGAAATCAGACTGCCATATTAATAGTAAGTAGTTAAATTATAGTAATCTGGAACGAGTGATGATGATGTACGATTTGTATAGTGTAATCGTTATAATGTGTAATTTGAACTCGTATGCTCATATCGGTACGAGCGATGATACACCGTGTCACTAATGTTAAACTATAGATAGATGTATGTGCGTTATACCCGAATATATTTGTTATATCAGTTACCGACGAATTGTTTATAGATATAACGTTAAACGAAGTTGCGTAGGCGATGCAGGCCCGCGCCGCCCCGCACCACTCCGCCGTACGTTCTACTTAGGTGTATATCTAAGTTGTTGCATGTGCGGAGTCCTCTTGCCTTGTAGCGGGGAGTCTGAGAGAGACCTATGGTGCTATTCTTCGACAACCACTTAGAGCTGCGTTCGACTGATGTGATTACATTTAGCTGTGATTTGCTTTAATAGGGATAATACACACGAGAGTTGGGACCCCACTCGGAGCTAGTCGACGAGGTAGTGTCCTCTATGTCGCCGCTTGTGAACTACCCACACATAAATATATTATTGTTTAAATTTAACGTTTTTATGAAAAAAACAAAAAGATGATTTAGTTTATTATTTTTTTTTTCATTTATAAAAGGCATCAAACAGTGTTATCTAAAATAATAGTTAATGTTACTGTTGACTTTGTAACAGACCTGCAGCGCCTATAACATGATCTGTTTTTATTTGTAGCTTAAAGTGTTTCATAATAATGGTTCTGAACAATAGATATAATTTTTATGTAATAGCTTAAAATGATATTGAGACATATTGTATTCACATCGTATGCATTTGAGTTATTACAAAACTAAACGCGGTGCCGGTTGGTCACATAACGTCGTGACAAGTTTTGAAATTTTCTGTAGTTCTGTAATATATTCAATAATTTAAAAGATACACTACTGCGGTGTTATGCATTTAAGCGGCGGTATGTCGCGGTGTTCCTTCATAGTCTGCGAGGATATTTCATTTAGTGTTGTTCGAAACCTCGTCACTTCCAGTAAAGGTTGTATCGCTGTCATAGGTGCCAAATAGATTGTAAGTTTAACGCCCGCAGCCGGCTCGTGCGGCGCTCTATACGATAACTACAGTACACCATGTTGTATGAATTATACAATTAATTCAGTGTATGATTAATTATATATGACGATTAATCAGTGTATTATTTGCAGTTGCAAATGAATCGAAGATATTTATCTTTTATGTTTTCTTTTAGATATATTTTTTATATCTAAAAGAAAAGCTTAGCTGGTACGATTGTGGAAGTACTTCAATAGATCAGCTTAACTATTGTGACTTTAAAAATCATGAAGTTTACTGAAGTTAGACAATAATGCGCACGCGCGCGACGGCTGCGGTGCTAAATCACGACACATAACTATGTACTAGATTGTAACATTAACAAAGCAATAAAATTTTATTTTTATAACTCTTCGTTCTTCATTTTAAACAACCTTTATCCCACTAAAATAATGTAACGAGACAGACGATATAATAAAAATAAATTATTTATTTATTTATACGAAACGACTACGTAGTGTGTTGATTGTAACGTAAGTAATTGGAGTGCACGCACAGAGTGGTCCTTCTGTTTGACTCGGTGTTGGCTCGGTCGAACCGATTCAGCATCGAACAAAACTAAGGAAATTATATTAATCCCTGATAGATGCAGCAATATTTCGCTTTAAATTTACAGTCACCTTCTCAGTAAGCCATTTGATTAATAACGCGATATGGTTGATAAGATAGCGTCCTCGAAATCAACTCTAGAGACGGGTACTGACGACTCGATAACCGGTGCCACTGACAGAAGACGCTTCCATATTCTTAACGGTTACATTTTTAAGATATTTATTTTAATCTGGTACGGGTCTGTTAATGTGGTGTGGAAAAACGTTCTGCGTATATTTCGAGTGTTATAGTTGCTTTCCAATGACCATTATAATAGTTTACTGTGAATTTGTGAAATAGTGCAAAAGAAATTACTGTTTGGGTACTTCATGTGTCCGTTCAATGGAGTGACTAAACTATCCGCTAGGTGGCGTGACACGCGACAGTGGTCTCGGCTGGCAGTATGACACGCTGCAACGCTGTCGAGGGCGGGGATTCCTGCACTCACATCTCCTCCCTTCTGCTCGCGCACGTCAACATACTTCTAGTGGTAGAAAACGTTACACTTGACGATAACTTCACTATTTATACCACGCACAGACCTGAAGACACCTACATTTTTATTGATAATTTCGCTCTTGTCATATAATAATTATAATTACCTGAGCTATTAAATAAAAACAATTTAACTCACTTAAGATATGAAATATCAAGTTCCTATGCGACATACATATCGCGCATTGCCACTGTAAACATGTAGAATTGGAGACTATAAATGATACACTGTTATACCTTAAGTTCTGGCTTTACGGTTGCTTTAAATATAGTGTGAGTGATACGTCGTTCTAATTAACCCAGATACTCGTTTACTTGTTGGCTTAATAAAACTGAATCATTCGGGAGTGATAGCAACGATAAGATATCACTGTACATATAAATAAAACTTGCCACATGTTAGGCGAGTGAACACAACCGATTGTGTCGAATGGTGCCCAATTATATTAAATATCATTCATCAGATCGTCAGATCCATGCAGCGCAGGCACCATGAAATTTGGCGCCCTCGGCAAAGCGCTGGATTAATTTAGGTATACAGCGTGTAATTTTGACAGTGATGAAAAAACTCCTTAGGTAATATAAGACAGATTTTTTTTTTTACTTTTGAATACGGTGGATAAGGATTCATGTCAAAGAACAAAAACTTTTTAAGATGCTGCATGCGATAAAAATTAGAGCAATATAGATTACCTACGTCATGCCGCCCGCCGAATACGAGCGCTCTAGGCAGTTACTTAGTTTGTCTATATGGATGGGCCGACCCTAGGTCTCCTACCTCGTGTATTCATAAGTTTTGAGATAAATTTTATTAAAAAAAAAAATGTTAATGGTTGTTATTTTTTTTACCGATTTTGAATTTAGAATGTTAAGTTTTATTTTATTTCTATAGCAAATTCATTTGTTTATATTTTCTCGTGATGGAGGGAACGAAACAATCACGTGCGACTGTCATTTCGCTATTTAAGACGGAAAAAACCGATGCAGACTTTCTGCTCCTCCAGCCTCGACCTCATTCCGCTGGATTATTCTTTATGGACTGAATTAGAGCTCAGGGCTTGCCGAAAGTCCCACTCAAACTTGGGGTCACAGAAGCGAACCCTCGTTCGAGAAGCAAAGCGAATTCCGCTAGAAAATATTCGTGCCGCCATTGATGACTGGCCAAATATTCTAAGGGCCTGTATTAAGAACAAGGGCGGTTATTTCTAATAAAATGTATATATTATTGTTGATTATTATGTATTTAATGGTTATTGAACATTTTAGAAATATAATTTAATTATTAAAAAAGATACGCAACTTTTATTTCGTTTCAAAACTTATGAACACACGAGGTATATTTAAGTTATTTAATGCCTGGCTCCATAGTGATTCTGACTAAAATGGGAGTATCTTATATTAAGTGACAGTAAGTATTCAATATATATTGACACATGTAACTAACTAATAAAATGTACAACTAACAAGAATATTGGCAAGAAAATAATTTCAAATAATAAGAAAGGAGCTCTGGGGCATATTGCCGAGATATGGGGTTGATTTTGACGGTACCCTGCCGCGTGCAGTGAGTGTGTGTGCAGTACGGTGTGTTAAGTATTATTTTATTGTACTTAACCCATTTTGGCATTTCTTGAAGTCTGTTTTAGATAAAAAAATATTTTTGGAGTTTACCTTTAAAAGGAAAATATTAAAGTCGACGAATGCCTATAATACTTTTCTCAGGAATTAACTAATTTTGGGGCATGTTGTCACGAGATATGCGATGATTTAACTAGTAATAAATAATGTATTACGCTATATATATGTAATCGATGAACTCGATGTCAAAGGTCGTTTACTAATCTCACAGACTACGAAGGCCAGTTTAACCAGTCGTTTGTATCGATAGTTGAATATATCAACAATGAAAAAAAAAAATGGTGATGTTATATTTAAATATACTCGTACATTATTAATCTCCTAGTACGTGTCGTCATCGTGAGTAGGAACGTGTCTGTAAACATTTTTCTTCTTTACCTCCGATGTCATTAAAACAAAGAATAAAGAAAGATCAACGTAACTTACAGTAATAAATAGAAAATTAATATTTGTATCCACATCTATCAGTAGACTGCTGTCATTTGATGACGGATTGATGGAAAATAGATGAATCTTTGTAAGCACAAACCCAAAAACTTTTGTTCGGTACCATTTTCTGCGCGAGAGGCCGACTCGCTCTTGGGCAATCTTTTTTTTGCTGCTGCGTCACTGGTAACGGATTGATTTTATCGGGTTGGCTAATATAATAAATAATGAGCTACACGCGTAACTTCAATTATTATTTATATATTATGAAGTAATAACTTATCATTCAGAATGTAATCACGTCGTTATCTACCACTGTAGGTACGCCAGCGATTAGGTAAATATTGGATTGCATCTCTGTAAAACTTTACCGGTTTGGATTTGAAAAAATCATCTATGTACTGTTGTAACTGGGGTTCATTATGAAAGCTTTAAAATCTGTTGCTGGACCGGAATAAACTAAAATCTGTTGCTGCTAAGTCCGGTGAATACGGAGGATGTGTAACTATTTCCCAGTTCAGCACCAATAGTTTATGTCGGGTACTCTTAGCAATATGCGGTCGGCATTATCATGGTGGAAAATATTTTGTCATGTTGTGAACGCTTACAATGAAGTTCAGATTATAGAGTTGATTATACAGTACACATTCGCTGTGATTGTGGTATTGGCAGGAAGAATTTCCCAGTATATTACTCCATGTACATCCCACCATATCGAGAGCAACACCTTGCGAGGATAAATATCTTTTTTGGCGTAAGTTTGCCCGGTTCGTTGCGGCCTAGTCACCGGCGCTCGCATGTATGGTTAACATACATAACCCTCTTTTCGTCTCCAGTTACGAGATGCTCTAGCCAGTTAAATATACGACGGAATGATAATAGATGGACACATATCTCTGCACGGTAAGCGAGTTGATCCACGGTCAGCTGAGCCAAAGGCCAAATTTGTAAGACTTTCCTAATTATTTTCAATCATATCATGACAGCAACCAAGTTCTACAGCTAAATGCCATGTGCTGCGTCTAGAATCTTCTTCAATTAACATTTTCAGTTGGTCTTTATTGGACGTCCAGACGTCGGTTTATCTATCAAGGAATAGTCTCCACTGCGGAATCGTTAGAACCACCGCTTTGCTGTTGCCTCGGAAACTGCGTCATGAGCTACCTATTGGAGTATGTTATGTGCAGCTTCTGCAGCGGAATGGTCAGATTGGTTCGTATATAATAAACAATGTCAATCAATTATTCGTTGAAGTTAACGCGGCGACATTCGAAGTATTACTGGCGTGCATAATCCCGACTGGCTCTTTATATATCCCCCGCCATAGAACGTTCTTGACCCTACTCAAAGTTTCTAGAAAATAAAACGCTCATTATTTATTAGCCAACCCGATAATAAAAGTCACAATGTCACGGATCAAAGTTTGAATTATCACGAATCCGTATAAATGAGTACTGTATAATCAAGTCTTCATCTATATGTAGGTACACGATACACCATTAATCGTTAAATGGACTGGTACAGTTGTTCAGCGGTGCGGGCCTGGCGTTGGCGGCGCGGCTCAAGTGGGACCCGAGCGCGTACGTGCCGCTCCGCGAGGCCCTGCCGCGCGAGTACCGGTTGCTCTGCGGGACGCTGCTCGTCGGCGCGCTCGCCGTCCTGCTGCTGGCACATGTGGCACTCACTGCACTCCTCATACGACGGTCACCTATACTGCGACGAGTTGCACTCTATATAGTACGTACTTACCTACATTACATACATACACCGATAATTATTTCCCCATAGACCACCTTACAATGAGGTTCTAGAAAATAGGATTCTGTGGCGCCGTCTGCCGCATACACCGTTTTGGAATGTGGGGGGACTGTGGAGTGACCGGATGGCGCCGCAACCGCGGTCAAAGGGACTGTGAACCGATGACCAACCTGGTTTCTGTCAACCTGGCTTTTCCCTATCGGGGACGGGAATACATGTACGTCCATGCTTATATGAATCCCTCTATAAGACGGGCGTGGAAATGAACAGTCGCACATCTCCTACTCTTGATAGCTTGGTGGTTTTCGAGCCCGTCGTGCATATTCCGCGTGGAGAGGGATGGGTGGGTATGCTGAGCATACCCATTAAAACCGATAGCATACTATGCCCCGCCAATTAACTAGCACCTTCGGAACGGGTCCCGCGGGGGACAACCCCATATAACCTCGTTGGCCCGCGCTACGGAAACGAGGTATGCATTAATGCAATGCCAACCGTACTCTAAAGTATTGTACTCTAAAACATGTCTAATAATAATAATCTATAACACAAAATTTTCTCAATGTTTCTTAAACTAGTGCCAGTCATACATTGATGCAACAACCTATTGAAAAGTGACCGAAAAAGGTTAAATCTTTAAATACTTAAATATACACTTTTTAAAAAGTTCGTGCGTTTTATTTATCTCTTGTGAAATATCTATATAACATAAATATATTTTACCCTATCTAATATGCAACAATGTAGTTTGCAACCCTGTTTGCGGGAGATGTCTGTGCTCGCTTTCATTGTTTTATAGTATTATTTCCGTTTGAGTGTAAGACGCTGACATTTTCAGTTCAGTTATTTGTTTAGAAAAAAATATGAATCATTTCGTATCGATTTAAGTTTTTTATCAGTAAATAATCCAATAAAGTATCTGAAACGTAATAATGATTGCAGTACGCGGTGTTGACGCTAGTTCAGGTAGTGTGCGAGGTGTGTGGTGGGGTGTGGGCGTACGAGCGCGTGCGAGAGTGGATCGACTCGCGCGACGCGCAGGAGCTGCGGGAGCTGATGGAGGCGCGCGACCACATCCTCGCCGCGCTGCAGCTGCTCGCGCGGTGGTTCCCCTTGCCGGAGAAGCTCAACGCGCTCATACAGGTCCATACAGTCACGGCGTAATCATATTTTGGTACATAATTAGTGAGGACCAAATATATGACTTTACGTCCTGCCACGACGCGGAGAGCGGCAGATAAAGGATATTTCCTTTTATTCTTACACCGTGTGTCGATTTACCGGGTACTAGCTAGGTCCCAAATATAAATTCCGGCCGGTTCTGTGTTTCAAATTCGGTATCATTTATTCAGTCTGGGCTGTTTAAAGCACTCGAGAATGTCGAAAGCTACGCGTGATTGCGCCAGGTTTGATATTTAATTATTAATTAAATATCAAACTTGAGAATTTAAGGTACAGCTTAAAAACGTGCCAAGTCAAACTTGAAATTCAATTTAGGATTTTCTACATAGAACTCAGAACCTATTATAATTATTACATTAGATTATCTGGTGTTATTGTTGACATGCATCACTGTAATAGGAAGCGGAGGCGGATATTCCCCGCAACGCGTACGCGGCGGGGGGCGCGGCGGCGGCGATGCTGGTGCTGCAGGCGGCGGCGGTGGCGCTGGCGCTGTCGGCCGCGCGCCGCCGCCGCGTCGCCACTCGCCCCAGCGTCGCGACCATAGACAGTGCCGACGAACATTTCGACAGAGACGACTCGCGCGCTAGACTCACTTTCCGAAGGTGAGGACTGGTAATACTATTGTTCTTGGAGATGCGAGCTTTTTATCCAATTCCATTGATTTATATCTCGCATTGTAAGTATTTTTCTAATAAAAATCATGATGATTTAAAAAAATCTTACATAATAGAGACTGTTTATCTGTTTCAGCAGACCAAGTTCAAACAATGGGAAACAGTGTCGATGCAATAACGGTCGCCTCGTGTGTTAAAATTTTTTAAACGAGAGACATTGCGACAAGTGAGAGTATTCGTGCCCCCCGACAGACTAGTAGGCGCCGTCCACTTGTGTTCGCATCTTCAATCGATAATAATATGAACAATATGATAAACAGTGAAGTGGCTCAATATTATTTATGACATGCCGTTATATACCGTTTAAAGGATAATGATTAAATTGCCATTCCCATCTCCGAAAAAAAACATATCAGCTTGACAGCAATTTGTTATGGAAATTTAACAATGAAAAAACTGTTTGAGCTGAGAAAGATATTTTATACTTAGATGTGGACTTTGTTAGTGGAGTGTAGTGTTATTTTAAGGAGATTATTATTTATTTTGCAATAAACAAGAGTTTTGTATAATAATGATGAGTTGTTGATTGTACATAGTGTGTATACCGTTGAATATTTTACCATAACATTGTCCAAAAACGGTGTTAAGGGTCTTTTGACCAAATGTAAATATTTAAATTTAAGCTAATTTATCAATGTAAATTGCTTTTAGCGTAGGATAGTCTCGAGAAATTTGACAAAAAGACTGCCAAATTAATGTTTTTTGATTATTAATATTTTATTATTTGTTTATTGAAAATAATCTGTTACTGTAACATAACATGTTTACGTTGTAGTAAATTAAAAACAAAAAGAAATAAAGAAAACGAATATCTGAATAGTTCAACATTTATTTATACATTTGAAATAGAAGGTGTGTAGCCACCGGATAGAGGATAAGGGGACGCGCAGGGGATAGGATAGGGGAGGGTGGCCTCTACTACTCGTACCTGTGCAAAAATATATAACGTGTGCCGCGGCCGGCTCCCAGCCCGGCACGCCTCCAACCAAACGTTACATGATCTATACAACAAGTATATGTATACATATAGCTATATACTATCTATGTATATTAACCAACAAAATATAGGGTGTGACGCCCCCCCTCCCCTCCCACACTCCGCTACCACGATCACGACTGTCTGAACCTGGTCTGGGACAGCAGGATGGTCGCTCGCAGGGTCTACATTTAAGTTCGGCAAAGTTACAAGTGATCGAAGGAACGCGGGGACGTCAACATTTATTTGTGCCAAAGTTCGGACGCTTTAAATAGAGGTACGTCTGCTGGCGGCGCGTATACGTCACGGTTACGTAACAACAAACTGTAACAGGTCGGGTAAGATAAAGGGAAAAGTATTAGCGATACAAACTATCGTGATCGAGTTTTAAGATAACAGGAAAGCGTCCGATGTTTAGCTAGATTATAATATTAATAATTATTAATAATATAATAAGTATTTTTCTTATAATTACAATAATAATAAGTAATTCAGAGTACTCGTTCCTACAACGCGACACGGCAGAGCCCACACGCAGATTGTCATCCTCACAGAACGCAACGGTTCGGTGACGTCAGACGATCTCGGTCCCCCGCCGGGTCACGCGGGCCCCGCCGACTGCACCACTGACGCGGGGCCCACGCGGGCACACGCTCAGTACCTCAGTACTTACGCTCGAGCACTCGTACTCCTACATATCCGTCTACAATAAATCCTCTACGTGATCACACAACATGATATGACATCTCATTTTCATAAATTCACATAAACGATAGATCAATCACACTCTTTCGTATATAACATTAATATAGCAACAGTAATTACTGCCGTTGATTGAAGTAGAGCCGACAGACAGACATCCGCGCGACACGTACAAAGCACCCGCAAATAAAATTAACATACCGTAGAGTCTTATTTACAACGATAACGACGACCGCTAGTCGAACAGTGCAAATATCTCACTCCTGAAAATCACACCGAAGCCGGAGCCCCGGCTCATCCTCGAGGCTTCAGCGGCGGCCCCGCGCACGCTCTCGGGGGCCGAGACCCCCTCGGGCTGCGGGCGGGGCCGACGCCGAGTCGTTTCCTAACTTTATAATACAATATCCACTGTAAAATATATATTTCACGACGATAAAGTTAAAAGTGTGCCTACCCGATATTTAAAGTTTACAGAGGATACATAGAAATCATTACAGCAGAACGAGTCCGCACATACGAGACGGCGATCCTCGGAAAGCGGAGGTCGACCACCGATTGTTATTTCGAGATAGTCGACGGCCGATACTATCGAGCGAGCGTTCGACGGCCGGGGTGTGTCGAGCCGGCGACCGTCTCGGGTCGAGGTCGGCCCTTCCGGAAGCGGCGGGAGCGTTCGTCGACGGCCGGGGAGGCGGCCTCGTTTATCTGTACGCCTGCCGGTCCGCCAGGAACGGGTTGGCGGGCGACTGCCGCGGCACCGGCGCCTGCCCCGGCACCCCCAGGCTGTCCGCTCCACTGTAGTTCTGGGGAGAACGCGAAATCTTATTTCGGAGCGATCATAGATACAATTCTAAGCGATATCTACGGCCGTGAACAACGTATAAACCTGCGTGGCGCCGTAGGAGTCGTGATGGGCGAGGTCGGCCAGGCGCGTGGAGGACAGCGCGCGCGGCAGCGGGTTGGAGGGCACCCCGTGGGGCGCCAGCACGCCCGCCTCCGCCACCGCGCGCGCCTCCTCGTCCGCCCCCGCGCCCCCGCCCCCGCCCGCGCCCGCGCCCCCCTCCGCGTCGCCGTCGCGGAAGTTGACGAACGCGAAGGCGGCCAGCGCCACCCCGCACAGTAGCCCGTAGCCCGCGAAGGTGCGCGTGGTGCCCCACTTGGCCACCGCGATGCCGCCCAGCACCGCCCCGCAGCCGCGGCCCAGCCCGTGGTGCAGACCTGCGATCGGGATACGCTTCGTTATGTAACGTCGTTCGCTCGCAACTCACCGAATTGAAATGAGCCAGGAGGGCCTCTCGAGACGTCGTCCGTTTGCTCTAGATCTCTAACCTTGCAGCACGCCCTGCGCGGAGGAGCGCAGGCGCGGAGGCGTGGCGTGCGCGATGTAGGAGCAGCAGGCGGCCCACACCGCCGCGTGGGTGACGCCCTGCACGAACTCGAAAGGCAGCACCCACCAGGGGTTGGTGAGCCACGAGATGTACAGGAACCGCAGCACGTTCCCCGCCAGGCCCAGGCACAGCACCTGCCCGGGCGTCCCGCGTGTATTAGTAGTTCTCGCCCCCCGACAGCGTTATCGTCGAATTCCAATCGGATCGAGCAGAATCGTTATTCTCAGTGTTCTTTTATAAATTTTATCGATCCAAAATCGGTGGGTTTTTGCGAACCGCCCGGTAAATTTACCTTAACGTGGCCGAGTTGAGTGATCAGCTTGAAGCTAAAGAAATATGCAAAGATTTCCGAGATGTGGTTGATGACAGAGGCGACGCCGAATAAAGTAGGCGACCCGTCGATGTCCTGCGAGACGATAAATACTGTTAATATGAACGTTCACGAAATAAAAGTCTAGTCTATTTTACTTATTATAGTATCGTTAGTAAATATTTTGTAGGCATTAACTTTAAAAGAAAGTTCTGCTTAGGCAATATTGCTACTAAAATACTAATTTAAATATTTTGGTCCCGGTTATAATTTCGTTTGTAACTTTTAAGAGTATCAGAAAAAAGTGAATAGACCTGCAAGTGCCAGAAGAGGAAAGTGAAGATGAGACCGATGCCGAAACCCATAAACCAGGCGACCAGAAGGAAAGAGGCCGCTTTCACATTTTGAAACTGTCGCAGCACCGTCACCCACTCCGGCATCTCGCGCGTCGTCTGCGCGAACACCTGCCGCACGATACACCTCGTGTAAAACTTAACAGTGACAGGTTTTATTATTCTTATTATTTCTATATTCTGTAACTAAGTGATTGATCGAAAAGCACAATCTCCTTTAGTATCTAATTTATCGAAACTTGAGGAACAGTCACATCAGTTCCATTAAAATATCTATCTTAATATTTCTTCATAGCGTATCCCTGGTGGGGTAGGCAGAGAGCACCGAATGCCAATATCGACGGTCCTTGCATACATTTTTTCTCTCGTCCACTTTCATTACTCTTTTCACTCATACTCGCCGGTTTTTATGGCTCTGACATCACCTTCTCGCTCGCTATACACAATGCGGCGCTGATTCCAACGTTAATGTATGGTAGTTGAGACGCGTCCGTTACGTAAAATTTGCGGAATAACGCTTGCAGACCGTATTCGGAATGCAGAGATAAGAATGAAAGTTGACTTGAAATATTAAATAGCGGCGGTGTAAAAATCAACAGAAACATGCTCCGTTAGTTCAGACATGAAGATGCCGGATGAAAGAATAACAAAACTGACATACAACGCAAAAGTGAAAGGATGCAGAAGCCGAGGAAGGCCACGACACACCTTTCACGATCAAGTTAATCGAGTGCTTTTATCAAAATAGATTAAGTAATACTTTTAATAATATACAAAGACTTTCAATTTAATACTACTGTTGTTATTAAGAGTTTTCGCTAACCTTAGCGTGATGTAAAGGCGGTTGCTGTGGCTGGGGCGCGCTGGTGTCTAGACCAGGTAGTTGCAGCTGCTCGGCCAGCTGCTGCTGCAACTTCTCCTCGTGCGTGGGCTCGGCTGGCGGAGGCGCTGGTGCTTCCGCCTCGCTGCTCACGAATTCGTACTTGAACCTTATCTAAAGGGAAATACCACGATATAAACGATATAATAAACACCACCATATCCATTTATCTTTACGGTTTTCCAACAGAACATACAAGGTCTACGCTCAACAAAGGAAATTATAGAATGAATTCTTTCTCACTTAAAAAATAAAACTCATCCTGATGTACTGTGTTTTACAGAAAATTTTATACAGCTTGGTCAACAAAAAAGTAAAATATTCATAACTACAACGTATTCGCATAAATATGCTGGAAAATAATTAAAATACTGGAAGTGTTTGAAATTTCGTAACATTCTTAAAAAAATATAACCTCGCATATAACAATTGCCACTAGGGGTGATCTAATAATATGTAATATTGATAGTGGGATTGACTATGTTTTGTCTTTTTGGTTATCAGATCACGATACTGCTCAGGTCTTGAAATTTTGTGTGCATCATAAAAAACAAATTCCAAACTGTGTGTACACAAAAATATTTAAGTAGCATATCGTTTGCAAATGTATTCAATGAAAAAAATATAAACATAGCATTCAATGAATTCCACGACATCGTCACTGTTTTATATAATTTGTATTTTCCAGTAATAAGAATAAAACAAAATTCTTATTTTAAACTCAAATGGATCTCACGAGGCTTAAAAATAAGTTGCATCACAAAGAGGAAACTTCGTTATAGGTATTATAATATTATTTTATCGTTATAGGTATTATATATAATATATTATTAACATCTTAATAGATGAAGTTTCATTAAATATATTAAATTGTAATGTTCTAGCGTTTCTAATAAATTTGTCTCTATAGACAGTAAAATTTCCTGAAAGATTGAAAGTGGCAATTGTGAAACCGCTGTTTAAAAAGCTGATGAAAATGATATATGCAACTATCGTCCAATAGCAATACAACCTGTCTTAGCAAAAACATTTCAAAAGGTTATGCACGACCCACTTACCGCTTTCTACACAAAATTTAAAATATGAGTAACAAGGGACAACCAATATGGCTTCAAAAAAATAAATAAATCGACAACTCAAGCAGCTTTTGATCTAGTAAATGAAGTAATGTAAATATGAAATATTATACAAAAGTAATATACCTTGATATGTCAAATGTTTTCGACTGTTTCTCATAATGTACTCGTACTATTCAAAAAATAGAATGTTATGGAATCAGGGGCCCTGCTTTAAACTGGCTGGAATCATACTTAATAAAGAGAATGCAATCCGTAGAAATATCACAGCTTAACAATAATAATACAGTTCAACTATAGAGATCTGAATGTGAATGATAATTTCGGTGGGTCTCCAAGGGAGTGTTCTAGGCCCTTTGTTATTTTTGCTATACATAAATGATTTACCCGACATTACAATTTATTTTATAAATAAAACTATTTTATTTGCTGACGATATATCCATAATAATATCAAATGAAAATGAGTTTTTTACTAGAACAGCACAAAAATGACATCATAATATATGCAATGACATCGATTATTGACTGACTTCAGAATAACAATCTTAAAATATATCAAAAACTTATATAATTCATTTCAATAATTTAAAAAACAATCTGTTGACATATCTTTAAATAGACAAACTCTAAGGTACCTCGACTGTAAAATTTCTGAGTTTAATCATGAATTCTAAATTCAGTTGGAAAGACCATATAGAAAAAGTGTGCAATAAAGTTAATTCATTTTCATTCCCGTTATATAAACTTACTAAAGTAGACAGTGTAAATACGGCAGTCATGGCTTACTTCCCATATGTAGAATCCATCTTAAGATATGGATTATAAATTTGGGGGTAGGGCACTGAAATAAATATTTTATTTATTGCGCATAAAGGATGCATTCGTGCTATATAGTTGCGTATAAGGCCGGATATTTCTTGCAAACCCTATTACAAAACTCTCCAAATTTTGACACTACCTTATCTTTATATTTTAAAGATTGGTATATTTGTTAAATTAAAAAATATCAAAAGTTTACATAAGCACAAGATTTAAGTCAAAGAGCCATGAGAACACCTGCAAAGCTAGTTTCAAAACACGTTCAAACAAAAATAATATATAATAAATACCAAATCATTTCAAAGAATTACCGATTACTCGGTTTAAATATATCGCACTTAAATGGCTATTGGATAAAAATAAACTTGCCGTTCCAAGCTTCAGACTTCAGAAAACCAGAGGATCATTTCTGGGTAAATGCATTGCTATGTTCAATAAAGTTCCACAAAATGTAGTTGACCTATCCATAAACAAATTTAAAATTCATGTAAAGAACATACTTATGAGTAAAGGCTATTATAAAGTTAATGATTATTTTAAGGATCGCAATGCATGGAATTAATTGCCTTCGTTTTGTTCTATAACGATTAATTATATGTTCAACCTATGATTTACAGAATTTGAAAGTTGTATTTATTATTGTGATGATAATACATATTATTTTGATAATGACATGATTTATGTAAATGTCATCACTTAGTCATCACTTATGATAAAGAGCTGGTAAGTTTCTTTCGCTTGTTCTTCTTGTCAGCTAAAAGACGTCCTGAACAAGTGGTAGGGGAAAAATTTTTTTGGATGATTCAAAAGTGCTTGTAATAGCCTACTCGAATAAAGATATTTTCATTTCATTTTCATTACATTTCATTCAGTTTTACAACCTTTAGGTCATCTACATTAAAAATGGGTTTGAGTATATAAACATCTTAGTATATGAAAAATTTATGTAATATTATCAAAAACAACAAACTGGCTAATGAAACACAACTTACAAATAAATTTATCTAAAACAAATTGGTCTTTTAGCCTTATCAATAATCTACCACTACATTAGGTTATATAGAGAAACTACATCGAAAATTGAGCAGTATTATGTACGCGTTACGTTAAAAAAAACCTATTTAATATTCTTCATTGATCTACCTGACGGACAGATATACAAAAATCAGTCATCATTCCTATAGTATACATGTTTTATTTACAAGTATTCAATTTATATAAAAGTATGAAAATAGCATATATATCTTAATTATATTATAACATTAGAAAAATTGAAAATTTAAAATATTTTTTTATTATAGATTATAATTTAAATAATAACAGCTAATGAAAACTGTGCTCCTACTTTCTTTTATTCTGTTACTCACTATGGTAGGTGTCCTAGATAACGACAAGGTCCACAGTGAGTCGAATTAAACCTAAACTATAACATATTACTCGTATATAAAATATTGAGTTTTGTTTACATAGTTCAAAATAATAATAAATTACCTGGGAGGCTGTGAGCAATGCAGCGCCCATCAGCACGGAAAATGTAGCGAAGCAAATGGTATAATTTTTTTCGTAACGCTGAGGGCCGCCACAAGGGTGGGAGCTGAACGCCGTGCTGTGGTCGAGTGCGATGCCCACGAAGAACATCGCCAACCCCCACCCTAGGGATCCGAACATACGCTGGTGGCCATACCTGATCATAAACAGTGACGGTTTCAGTTGGTTTCAGTGCTGGATTAAGCCAGAGCGGGGCCTATAATAGTTTTTTTTAGAGGCCCTTATCTTGATTTGTAACATTTCATTGCCAATACAACTGTTCCCACTCAATTCGATTAACAACTTGAGTATCAACACGCGCCTCCTTCTTTTTGAAGTTTAACAACAAAATAATGGTACGTTATGATTTGTATAAAATTGTAGGCATCCTTCCGATCCCCTAATAATGTCTTTCGTGATGAGGATGACTGGAAGACGAATAATCGGAATCAGCAACTTTCCAAATATGACTCAACAAATCAGTGACTTTAATTTTATTTTTCGGTTTACGTTTATACTTAAAAATATTAGTTTAGTGGCTTATTTTATTTCTTGCATTTTTAGCACTGAGGAAAAAAAAAATATTTATTGGTCAATTCATATCGACACTCACCGAAATTTATGACTTTTAGCTAGGTTTAAAAACTGTTAAATGCCTAATTAATGTGATATCAGAATTCAGAATTGTTTTATGCCTTTAAAGTATAAGATAATGTACCTGTCGGCATCTTCGCCAAGCAGCGTAATGACAGCGGAGTCAGCGAGCGTTATGGCGGGCGCACTAAAGAACTCTCCGATCACCACCAGCAATAGTAACAGGAAAAACGTTTTCTGGATATCCGGCGTCCGATAAACGATGAATGAGTGTAGGGGTGTTACCCAGTCCGAGTTCCTATCCGGATTGTAGTTGAGCGCGTCGTCGACGGAGAGAGGGGATCCTTCACGGCCGGCGCCGGACGGGCCGCGGAATGTTCGTGTAGTAGTAGGCCATTCTCCGTCATAATTAGGTGCTACCAGCTGGTAGGCAGTATTATTCACTGGCTGCACGCATCCCACAGCTGTCGGTTGCACCCAGCTTAGTGGTAACGTAAATACCACCCACGCCCCCAGCGATGCCAAAAGTAAAGTGCGTCCTTTTTGCCAGCGATCAGCTAAGCTGCCCCAAAATGGAGCCGATAGAAATTCCACGAAAGGCCGCGTGCCAATGAGAAGACCGCACTGGCCGGCATTCATGCCCATTTGCTTGAAGTAGACTCCCATGAGAGGAAAAAGCGAGCCGAATGCGGAGTAGAAGAAGAAGTAGAACGTCTTCACCGTGAGCAGCTCAGGATCGACCGCGCCAGCTCCACAGACCAGCTCGAGTACGTCGCTGCGCCCGCGCACCTTGTGCGTCGCCTCCTTCGGTGCAGGGTACCTGAGATAAATCATACCAAATGTGAGAAGCTTGATAGCAAAATAAGACACTCGTCATCTTTTCAATTCATCAAAATTTTTTAAAAACTATTTTAATCCTTGAGTCCTTTTGTGATATTTTGTGATACACTTAAACACAACAGTAAGTTAGGTTACCACAACGTGTAAAAATTTTGTAATTGATTTTCAATTTTACAATCAATGCGTTAAGGTTACATATCAAGTGAAGAAATTTGACATGTTTGTATAACCTGACATGTAGTTGAACTTCCAATCCTATGCCTAGTATGTGAATCTCATTTTATACTTATGTTGTTTTAATTATCCTGTAACTGTAAACAGTCTAGTCAGTCAGCAGTTAGGTGGCTTAGTAGATAAGTACCAGGGCCTGCGTACCATGGTGATAAGCAACTTTCATAAGGGTCGGTCACGGGATGGGCGCCCAAACAATTATTACAGTGGGGACGCAAGAGGGCGGATGATGATTATGAGTCTACATTATACCTTCATAATACATCACATCTCAAGCTTACTCTATACCGTGATATTGGCGCCCAACGTGGGGCACTAAATGCAGCTATTCTGTAATAAGATCAGCCTCGAACTCTACAGCGATGTCACTGACTTTCAATGAAATAAATCCTTTATTACTTTTTTGCAAAAGTCCCTAAAATAATGAAAATATTCTATGGCTACCTGTCAAACTCAAATATTTCAATGTCTCTCTCTATCAATAAAAACAGACAGAAATTTTTGTTTACATATATCGCTGTCGGGACCCCACAGTGATGTATGTAACAAAAATTTACCAGTGATGTCTAATATACCCTATCTTTGATACTGGCAGGGATAGATACGTTATTGTCTATTGGAAAAAGAAGGACTGCCGATATTGGGTAGGGATTTCCTGTATATAATACCTTTCAATTGAAAATACGTTGACGACGAAACTGAATAGTCAACACGATTTAGTAAATGCCTGTACATTTATGGGCAGTGAGTTATCGAAAAACTTTTGAAATATTAATTGTTATATCAAATTTTGTCTCATATTTATAAAATCGATGACCCATTAAAGATTCCGATTACATGATAAAGATGAGTGCGAGGAGCAATAAATAATAGATACCTACCACTGAAGCAAAACTGAAATGAGGAACTTTATAGTATCATAATAATAATATCATGTGATGTTGAATAAATTATTATCTTACTGACCCAATGACCCAACGACGGATTTGAATGCGGTTTTCTTCAATATACAGAGCGATTCAAGAGGAAGGTTATTTGGTTTATATGTATGTATGTACAGGAGCCGAGCCCACGCATACTCCGCGCCGCTGTGTTGCAAGATTACAAGATGGATTTGAAAATTAAACGGAAATATTGCAGTGCACATGGATGTCTCAATAACAGTTTATCAAATGCAGATTTATCTTTCTTCACATTACTCAAAGAACAAGATCAGTGGGTACTATGGCAACTTAGTCTAATGGTGGAGGTGGGTGGCGCAATGAAAAAACTGGTAGAACTCCTCAGTCTTGATTTATTTTCAATTGGTATTACATTAGCACACTTACAACCAAATACTATGATGCTCACTCTAAGCTGGTCTCTATCAGAAAGGGAGATTGACAACCAGCAAAACACGAACACGCGAATTCGAATACGAAAAGTAATAATTTGAAATATTTCGTTTCGCTCTAGATTTCGTTTACCAGATATTAATTTGTAGTTTATTTTATTAAATAAGTATGCCTGAATATCGCCAAATTAAACTGATATTTAATTATATGTATGCGTATTAGATAATGTAATATAAAAAAGTATGGACCATTGATAGAAACTGTTTGTACAAAGTACATGATTATTAAATTTAGATTCAACATTATCTTATTTTGGTCTTATTAGACACGGCATCTCTGTCCTGTTAGACATTGCAAACTTTGATCGAGACCGACATTAGAAGCCTTGACATAAACTCTTTTCGTATTCATTTTTTTTTAAGACACTCATTTGCATTGAGTCATTTAGTTAAAATTCTTTTGACATTAAGTAACATTTTATTTAATGAACTTTTGCATATTACCTACCTAGAATATGAAGTAACTCAAAAACTAGATTTTTTTTTTTAATAAATATGTAATTTTGTTCAAAATTACACTTTTTTCGATATATCTTAAAGCGAGCCTGATTATTTGAAAAAGAAATTGAATAAATACATAATTAATTAAAACAACGTTTTAGTTTTTATTTAGACTATTATCTGTCGCTCGGGGCTCGAGTCACCCTACATATCTGGTTATACTATGACCGTGCGTTCACTCAGGGGAGTTTATTCATCCATTTAGTTTATATTATTATGAGTTTTTGTTTTTATTTCAAGGAGATATTTAAAAGTACTTAAGTTTATTTAGATATCAACTGACCTAGTCGAATAATCCTGTATCGATCACGTAACATCGTTCTGTGTTATTATTATAGACCTATTTAACAATAGCGCGACCGACGCTCGTCGCGCACATTAAGTTATTTAATTCATTTAAAACAGTAACATATTTTTTATTTCATTTATATTAATATATAATACATTTTATTTTATACACGGTGTGATACAAATTACTAGTAAAAAATAAGTGTATAATTGTCGAAAAGTCGTTAAACGAACGCAGATATCGGTGGTTTTGTTTGTTATATGTTGGATCGATTATCGTCAATTTTCTTAAATCCAACCATTGAGGTGATTCTGCACTGGCATAGTTATAAATTTGTCAATAATGTTTTTTTTTTCAGGTTTGTGAAAAAATAAATCATTATGAACAATTTTTTTAGAGGTTTAATTAATTAATTATTATGATGAGAAAAATTTGACGGTTTTGCTAGATACACAATGAAGGGAAATGTTGTGTGGGCACTGTGTGTATATGGTCGCACCTGGAAGTGTCCACCTCGCCGAACTCGTCAGGGTTGACGAGGGGGCGCGGGCCGGGCGCGGGCGCAGGCCCTGGGGGCGCGGGGGCGCCTGTCTGCGGCTCCATGGTGCGGGACTGACGGGCGGCGGCGGCGGACACCGCGCGGCGACAACCGCTCGATACCGCGCCACAGCGCGCGCCGCGCCGGCGCCACACGCGCGTCGCCACCGCGCACACTCGCGTCTAGAGTTGCCAGGTGACACCGGCACCGTTTGCGTCGATTGTTCCGATTTTCAGCGGTCTAGGGGTGCCGATTGTGCAGTTTGGCCATGAAAATATGTCCCACCCGTCGCCTCAACAAAATGGTTAGCCGGGATAATCGTATTAAATGAGAAATACAAATTAGCATTGTGAAAGGTGAAACGATTTTTAAAAGTCGAGACCGAGATAATTTTAACTTTATGTACCAAAAATGTTTTATGACGATGACGTAACTAACTCTAAACACAATAAACTCTGTTTAGTCAGTCGTGTAAAAGCGAAAACTTTTTACAAAATATAATCTCTAGAAATAAAAACTAATTTTTTTGGTATTCATTTATTCTGTGGTATACGATCATTACAATTATCATTTGATGCAAAAACCAAAAAACAATTAAAGTTGACAAACAGAAACAATTTTAAAAACGTGATATATTGTGTAATTATTTGTCTTAAAATATTTAATACATTTTTCCAAGAAATTCCATATTTTTACTAGGGATGCATCAATACGTATTTTGGTCGATACGATACCGATAAAGACAGCAGAGATTCAATGAAAGCTCGAAAGAATAAAAAGGTATAAAAACTTAAATAATCACGTCAATAACGTAATAATTCTTATTTATTTAAGTTTAAGTTCCCCATAAAAAGTAAAAAATCATAAAAGAATTTCGGGTACTTACAGATTTAGTTACTTAAAGTATCAGTTTATTCAGGTGGATTTTTTTTTATTTTATTCATAATCTTTATAGTACATATTTAAGTATAAAGTTATTCTTATGATTACTCGTATGTTCAAAAAATTTCAAATTTATATTAAAGGTTACATGATTATATTTAAGGTCTAGCTTGTTCGCTTTATTTTACTTTTTTTTTAATTCTTTAATTTTAAGAGGGTTTTTCCTTGCGGAATTGTTATTAATTACTAGCTTTTGTTTCTATAGCTAATATTTGTTACTTAATGTTTATATTAGTCTTCAACTCTTTAATATAATAATTTTCTCATCAACCGAAGCTAAGAACACTCTCGATTATGTCATCAATATTCTCTTTCATTGCGTTTTTATTTGTGAGCCCACTCGAGTATATTTGCAGACATTCTTCCCCACTTTTAGCCCTCACAACTTTGAAACGGCTCATCCAATTTTCATCAAACATGTCTGAGAACACTCGCACATAAGTCACCTTCAATAAAAATAAATAAATAAATTGAAATTTCATCTTTTCATCCTTTCGCTAACTATGATGCCACAGACAGACAGACCTACACACAGACACGTCAAACTCATAATACCCCTCTCTTTGCGTCGGGGATTAAAAATGCACAGATGCGTGATGTGTCATGATCATGGCGTTATGTGTTATTTCAACTTCTTGTATCGCTGTAATTTATTGATTATAATCTGCCTGATTTATAATCAAAAACGGAATTGTAATCATCCGACCAATTGTCGTGTATCGACGTATCGGCATATTATTAACTCAATTTCGGTATATCGAAAAACTAAACTCGCAATATCAGCGACATATCGGTATAAGATGCATCCCTAGTTTTTACAATTTTTTTGATTTCTATTCTAATAAATCTAACCTGACAACATTTGTACATTAGTATTACACGATTATTTTTTTTAAACTATTATTATTTCTTTATCTTTACAGAACACTTAATTTACTTTTTATTTTACGTTATTATAACTGATTTGTTACTATTTTCAAGAATATAAATCTTTGATTTGTAGTCCCAAAAATTGTCGACTGACTGATTTCCAGTAACACTTCTTTATTCGATGGTCCTCGCCACCTCATTAAAATACATTTGAACCTTATTGCAACAAAATAAAGTTTTAAAATTCATCGCAAGCATCCGTGAATATTTAGTATGAAGAAATTATTTTAATTTTTTTAGTTTTAAAGAATGAACAAAGAACGTCTGTTAGTCTTAGATAAATAAAACAAAAATAAATAATATTATTTGCATCATCTTGTCGCATACGTCGCATAAAATACAGTATTCGATATTTTAATAAATCCATACCGTATAAAAAAGAGAAAAGGCAAACAAAACAATCAGCTGTAAGTCAGTCGCAACGATGCAATCTATCATTACTCGTGATAAAATTTTAATAATAAAGTAATTTATAAAACGTATAGAGACAGCACTGGTTATTTCGATTCGTCGGGGTCGTGTCTGTGAGCGTGCGCGTGCGCGGGGGAGGAGGAGCGGCGCTCGCGGCGGGAGGCGTGCCGCGCCAGCCGCGCGCTGGCCGCGTGCATCGACGACCGCCGCCGCGACCAGCGCCGCCCCGCCCCCGCCCCCGCCCCCGCCCCCGCCCCGCACGCCGACTGCAGGGACATGGAGCGCATCCGCTCCTCCTCGGGGCCCTCGCCCTCCTCCTCGAGCTCGCCGCGCGTCGACGACGACTGTGCGGCGGACGCGCTCGGGGAATCTTCGATCAAAGGGCCCTGCGGGAGAGAAGCACCGGAATTTCAGGAAACACTATCCGGAAACTGAAAGCGCCTCCTTCGATCGATGAGCTCGATTCGTTCGACGGATTCGATCATATGTGGAAAATCGTAGCCAGGCAGCAGGACTGTCGGTTATGATTCGACATACGAAGGCGTCGAATCGGAAGCACCACGAGGTACTCTTTCGGGTCTTCGTCATTTCTAACCTATGCTAATGATGATCGTTGTAATTATTATTTATCTGTACAGAGTGGCGGTTTGACAGATTCGTATAATCCGATGTGCCGTCGATCGCCCGAGAGTCGTTCGTTAATAAAGAAAAAATGTATGAACGCAGTCAATACCTGCAAGGGCTTGACAGATCTCTCGAAACTGAAGACGAACCGCAGCTCGTCCCAGAACCTGGCGCGGAAGGAGGCGGGCGCCCCCCTCGGCCGTCGCGCCGCCAGCGCCAGGTCGCAGCACGAGAGCAGCACGCCCAGCGCGCACCCCACCACCAGCACCAGGAACAGGCCCAGGAAGCTCGCCATCGACAGCTTAGAGCTTTCGTGTTCGTCCACCTCCTGCAAATGTTAATAGTTGCGCAAACAGACCGCGGGTGTCGATCGTCGGTCGTGCGTGTCGGGATACACCACGACTGACTGACCTGGCGAGACGGACGATTATGTAAAATGTATTATCTAAAAAGATAGATTTTATTGTTAGTGTACGAGCAAGCGCGTACATTTGCCGCATCATCATTTTACGCCATAAAAATTATTAGTTTTTGTTAAATTCGATGATTTACCTTAGGAACCTAGTAATTTAAAAAAAACTGTTACATTATGTAGTCGAATCTTTATCTATCTATTGAAATTGGCTATCTACATATTACATCTTTAAAGAATCGATACGCAATATTTATAATTTAGACGATAAATCTAGAAACAAAAATGATTATTTTTGTTTATTTATTATTATTTAGATTTTAATATATAGGTTTGTATAAAGCAGTGATTATTAAACGTAAACCGAACACAGCATATAGTATCGTTTAAAATAATCGTGTACCTTGCAGGCGCCGCCCCCGTGCTTCTCGTTCCACCACTTCCGTTTCATTTCCCGCAGCACGCCCGCCTCTTGGAGGTTCAGCAGCGCCAAATTCATTTCGTGCCGGTACGTCGAATCTGTTTCAAAGTCGACAAACAGAATATAAAAATCCCCTCACAGAGTTTTGACCGAGGTCCTAGATATAATGAATAAGTCCTTCGTTGCTCAAAAGAAAATATTAGTGCAGTATTTGGTACTGCACCTATGAACCATGCACACTTCTCTTAAAATCTTGTAAAATAATATGACCATGATTTTTTTTAAACTGCTATAGTACAGGAATATTTTTTTTCCAGTGCAAAAATTTTTTTTGGTGGTTCAGTATCAGTAATAGAACACTTTTCCATAATTAGTTAAAAATTTTTTTTTTAATATTTTTATCCCTATCGAAACGGTAGAATATGGACACATTTTTTAAAATAAAACTTCAATGAAAACGTCTTCTCTTGCGGATGCCACCGTGCAACCCCGCCGCACCCGGTAGCCCCCCGCCACAGCCCCCACCGCCCCGCCGGGACCGAGCGACGCGCGCGACAGTGAGACTCATACGCACGCGCCGATGTGACGTGTCCTCGTGTTCCCGCGCACGCGACGCGCCCGCCGTCGTGAGTTTTACGAGATATACGAGTTTATCTTCTGAGTGGTGAGAACCTACATAAGCGCAATTCGGAGAAAGTAACCCCGCGGTCCCTAATGCTCCGAACCATTTTAACAGACGAAGTCCCAGAGTCAGTACCCACGATGCGGCATATCTCTTTGGTGTGAGCCAGCCTGCGGTATTGAAGCTGCTAAAAACAGCTGGACTCCGTCCGTACCATTTTCAGCCGGTTCAACAGTTCCATGAACTAGACCCAGTACCACGTCGAGCCTTATGTGAGTGGCTTCTACATCACCGCGATGCAAACATCTTGTAGATGGATGAGGCATTGTTCACAAGTGAGGGACTGTTTCTTATGGGAAGAAGTCAAACGCCGAGATGTAGAGGAGGCACAAAGTCTAGAAGACTTAACAATAAAAAATAATAACGCTTTCAGTGAAGTGAAAAGTGACAATAGTGTTTTAAACAAATTAAATGACAATTTAATGAAATGTGCACGTTTATGTCTGAACAGACGTGGACTTCATTTTGAACAAATATTAAAATACATGGTAAGTAATTAGTTAGGTATTTGTTTTGATTCAACATTATTGTAAATACGTAGTTGATTCTAATTTTTTTAAATACGCCTTAACGCAGAAGTACCTATGTTACTTCGGCATAACGTTAATATTTTTTTCTACGTAACGAATTTGTTTCTCTTTTATTTTTTGCATTTTGATGGCCTTAACCATAAAAGTATGAAGAGAAAATTGGAATTACTCTTAGAAATCACCTCAGATCATGGCATAAAATCGAGTTCGAATCCAACAAAATGAGCGGCCAGTGACCCGTGTAGATAGGTACCTACGAGTACATGCCTACGGCGGCGTCGAGCGAGCGCTCAGCTGACGCACGGCGCGCGGTGTCCATAAATTAAGTTTTAAAATCTCGATCTTTGATAAGCGATAACTTTATTTTTTAGTATTAGAACATATCAAAATAAAAAATACGTGTTTATTTAAATTACTTAAAGTTTATTTTCACAAAATCTTCGCAGTGGTTTTAAATTATTCCTGTACAAGTAAAACTAAAACATATTGTCATTTTGAAAAAGCTGAAAATGTATTTTTAGGTTGGGGAAAAGTCTTTTCGCATATACATAGACTTGTAATAAAATCTTTTCTGACTGTATCATTTTAAATTAAAAAAATGTGTGATTTTAATTTGTTTTTCTTACTTTTAAAATGAGTGAATTTCATAAAGAAATTATACATATTACGATACCTTTTAAACTTTTATTACAAGAAAAGGTAAAAATGCAACGCAAGCCGCGAAAAAGTTTGTGACGATTATGGACCTAGTGAAGTTTCTGTGAGAGTAGCACAAATTTGGTTTAAGCCAGGAAATATTGATGCCAAAGATGCACGTCACTTCGGTAACCCTGTTATGGATAAAATAGATGACATTTTTGAAAAAGTGGTGCAGCATCGGCATTTCAGTAGTTACGACGTATCTGAAGAACTGGGGATTGACCACAAAAAAGTGTTGGCGCTTCTGAAAAAAGCTGGGTACACAAAAAAGTTGGATATTTGGGTACCTCACGAGCTCACTGAAAGAAACCTAATTAACCATTGTTTATTCTTTTTTGTTATGAAGTAAAATGTCAAATAAATTAGTTGTATCAGCGGACATTGGAAGTTTCATTTCTTAATAGTGTGATGTGTGTACATTTTGGTCTATAACTCGCCGGATGAAGATCAGTGACGATAAAACAAACATTGGGATTGCGAAATTTGTGAAAATTAAATAAATTTCAAGAAAACAAGTAAGTTTACAAAAATATACAATAGTGGAAATATGAAAATTTTGTTGACATTTTGCAAAAGAGTATAACGGAAGAAAACTTGCATAGACGATGATCTAGTACCATTATTACGCGGTATTATTTAAATTCACAATTGAACAAAAAGTTTTCAAGTTTGATTGTCAAAGTAAATAAGCGAAACAAAATGACTGTGCAAGAACTTATTAATACGCAAAATGAAATATCCATGCAAATCACAAGAGCATTATCAAATTACAAAAAGTCAAAAGCAAGAATAACTAAAGCTTATATTGAAGCAAGATTAGAATTATTAGAAACAAACTTTCAAAACTTTAAAGGTAACCATCTTAATATTGTAACAACAGCAACGCTTGATGAAAAGAAAAGCTTAACATATTTTCAAGATGATTCTTATTATTTATGTGAAAATGTTTATCTAGAATTAAAAACTTTGATGAAAGAACAGTTAGAGGAATTGTCTGCCAATTCATTAATATCTGTACAAAAGGGAGAAGCATCTGTCACAACACCTCAAAGTAAAGTATTAAGGGCTAAGTTACCACCTATTGAAATTCCTTTTTTTGCGGGAAATTATAATGATTGGACAGGTTTCTATGATTTATTCAAGTCTTTGATTCATAACAACGAGGATTTAAGCAATATAGAAAAGTATCATTATTTGAAAAGTAATTTGAAAGGCGAAGCAGAGTTATTATTAAAGCAATTTCCATTAACCGAAGCTAATTATGAGAAAGCATTAGAAGTTTTGGAATCAAGATACAACAACAAGAGGCTTATAGTACACGCACACGTTACACGGTTACTTGGACAGAAGAAGCTTATGTTAGAATCAGCCAAGGGATTACGCGCATTATTAGATACTACGAATGAGACATTGAATGCACTTAATAATGTTGGCGTATCTACGACAAACTGGGATCCTCTCGTAACACATATTATAGTAGCAAAGTTTGATTGTGAGAGTCAGCGTTTATGGGAACAACAATTAGCAGGAAATAGAGACATTCCAAGCACTAAGCAATTGCTGGAATTTTTAGAAATAAGATTCAGATCTTTGGAGGCTTTAGCTGTGACACAACACAAAGAAGTAGTGAATCGGCAACCGTCAATAAGAACCTTCAAAACGAATGTCGAAGTCATTTGTTCGTTTTGTTATAAAGATCATTATATCTATAACTGCAAAGAGTTTGTGAAACTAAATTCGGAAGAACGTAGAGATGTCGTAAAAGAGAAACAACTGTGTTTCAACTGTTTGGTACCGGGACACAGTGTAAAATTTTGTAGACAAAATACTTCATGTAAAATATGTAAGCGACGTCATCATTCACTCTTACATCTAACTATATATGAAACGCAACAAGCACATGCTACACAAATTGAGAAAAACGAAGAGGATAGCGAAGACAAAGACATTTCCCAGTTGGCTGTCCACAAAACTGATATTACTGACACACAGGTCATACTTGCTACGGCTATGGTTCGAATAATAGGCAAAGATGGCAATAAACACAAGTTGCGAGCACTGATTGATCAAGGGTCGCAAGCATCATTCATTACGTCATCAGCGGTTCAGCGTCTTGGTTTAAATAAAGAGCATCATATTAGCAAAGTGACGGGTATAGATCCACAACTGTCGATGGTTTCCAAAGAGCTAGTTGGATTTAATATTTTTTCAATATATAATGACACGCCGATAGTTCACGTCAAAGCTCATGTTTTGAAGTCACTTGCTTCTATACTGCCTCGTCAAGAGATATGTTTGAATTTGTCATCAGGGATAAGCACATTGCCTTTAGCAGATCCTACGTTTTCAAAGCCTAGCAGTATAGATCTTTTATTGGGGGCAGATATACATGCACAAATTGTTGTGGATGGACTTAAAAGATATGATTTAGTGATTGCACAGAATTCGCATCTTGGTTGGTTTATTTCAGGAAAAGTTGAAAGTAAAAGGCACACTGAAATAAAGGAAGTATGTTTAATGCACAGCCAACTTGAGACAGATGATTTATTACAGCGGTTCTGGGAATCAGAAGAATTACACACAAAAAACCGTACACAGACTGCAAGTGAAACAGAGTGTGAGAAAATTTTTGAAAAGACACATTCTCGCACTGACTCAGGGCGTTATACAGTAGCACTACCATTTTCAAAGTATAATGGCACACCGCTCGGAGAATCTAAGACTCTTGCTGTAAAACGTTTATTGCAAATGGAACGAAGATTCCAGAAAGATAAGAAGTTTTATGAACGTTATAGAGGTTTTATGGATGAGTATGAAGAGTTAAGACATATGGAAAAAGTAGAAGTTGAAAATTTGAACAAGTTAGACGTTTGTTACCTTCCACACCATGGAGTCTTAAGAGAAGAAAGTACAACCACTAAGCTTCGGGTTGTCTTTGATGGCTCAGCTGAGACAAGTACGGGAACATCTTTAAATAAAAAGTTATTGATAGGTCCAGCTTTACAAAGTGACATAAGAGATATTTTTTTGAGATGGCGAACACACAGAATTTGCCTCGTGGCTGATATTCAGCGTATGTACAGACAGATTTTAGTCAGAAAGGAAGATCAAGATTATCAACGTATTGTGTGGAGAAAAGATCCAGCTGATCCGATCGCCGAATACAGGTTATGTACGGTAACGTATGGCACATCGTGCGCTCCTTATCTTGCCATTAAGGTGTTGAAGCAATTAGCAAATGATGATCGGGATAAGTATCCAAATGCTGCGCGAGTGTTAGAATCTGATTTTTATGTTGATGATTTGCTTTCTGGTTGTGATTCAGAAGCAGAAGCTATTGTTTTACAAAAAGATTTGACTGCATTACTGCAGCGGGGAGGAATGGTTCTACATAAGTGGGGTACTAACTCAAAATTGGTGATGAATTCTATTTACGGTGATGACACTCAACCGCAAGAGTCATATGAGATTATTATGGAAAAATCTATTAAAACTTTAGGTATAAAGTGGAATCCAAAGAAAGATAGATTTGAATTAGGTGTTAAGTTTTCAAAAGATCTAAAGTCCAAGATAACAAAACGTGAAGTTCTTGCTGATATTGCGAGAATATATGACCCTTTAGGTTGGATGTCACCCATTATTATTAAAGCAAAAGTTTTTATACAAAAGTTGTGGTTACTAAATCTAAGTTGGGATGATGAATTGCCCGAAAGTTATAAAGTTGAATGGTTGACTTATAGGGAACAAATGATAAATATGATAACTATTTATTTACCACGTTGGATAGGATTTACAAATTCAAATATGAGAATTGAAATTCATGGTTTTAGTGACGCATCTAATGCTGCTTATGCTGGTGTTGTATATGTTAGAATTGTTGATTCTCAAGTTACTGTTAAAATAGTAGCAGCTAAGACTAAAGTAGCGCCACTAAAACAGATTTCAATTCCCAGACTAGAATTGTGTGGAGCTGTTTTGACTGCTAAGTTGATTGATAAGGTAAAAACTTGTTTGAATGTTCCTGAGAGTAATGTATTTGGCTGGACTGATTCCACTATAGTTCTGGCTTGGCTTCAAAAACCACCAAATTGTTGGAAAACTTTTGTCGGAAACCGAGTTGCGGAGATATTAAATGTAACTCATCCTAATCGATGGCATCATATTAGTACAATAGATAACCCAGCAGATTGCGCGTCTAGAGGTATTTCTCCTACCCAGTTGCCAGATTATGAATTATGGTGGAATGGACCACAATGGTTATATACCACTAATGATATTTTACCTAATAATGAATTTCATGAAACAGATTTAGAAGCGAAAGCTAATTCTGTACAATGTTTAAATGTTAATGAACTAGAAGAAGAGTTTATTTTACACAGATATTCTAGTTTGACAAAACTTAAGAGAGTTCTAGCTTATTGTTTGAGATTTATTAATATATGTAAAAAACGTGTGATAAACAGAATGAATTTAAGTAATGTTAATTTGCTTGATGAATTTCCAATTTATTTAACGACCAATGAATTATTACAGTCCATGAATTGTTGTATTAAGATTTCACAAAATTATTATTTTCAAAAAGAATTTAATGAACTATCGAATGGTGAAACTGTTTCGAAGAAAAGTCCTTTGTATTTCTTACGTCCATTTATTGATGATCATAACATATTAAGAGTAGGTGGTAGATTAAAAAATGCTTGTATTCCTCATGATGCAAAGCATCCTATTGTAATTTCTGGCAAATCACAATTAGCCAAATTAATTATTGATTTTACTCATAAGAAATTGTTGCATGGAGGGCCATTACTTATGTTGAATATTATTAGATGTACTTACTGGATTACAAACGTAAAATCGCTTGTTAAGTTACATGTCAAGAAATGTGTTGCTTGCGTAAGATATGCACCTAGATTTGCTACTCAATTGATGGGAAACTTGCCATCAGTTCGAGTCACTATTGCTAAACCATTTTCTAATAGTGGTGTAGATTTCGCAGGTCCTTGCTATTTAAAATCTTCAAAAGTTAGGAATGCTGCTATGTACAAAGCCTACATTGCAATCTTCATTTGTACTTCAACCAAATCTATACATTTGGAATTAGTTTCAGAGTTATCAACAAATGCTTTCATTGCAGCTTTTAAAAGGTTTACTTCTCGACGTGGGCACTGTGCTCATTTGTACTCAGATTGTGGGACTAATTTCATAGGGGCAAATTTTGAACTTAAGAAAATGTTAAATAAAGCTAAATCTTCATTGCCAGTAGAGTTGCGTGAGATATTAGCTTCGGAGGGGACCGAATGGCACTTTATACCCCCAGGTTCACCTCATTTCGGAGGCTTATGGGAGGCGGGAGTACGTTCAACTAAGCATCATATCAATCGTGTTATAGGAGATATAAAACTCACGTTTGAAGAGTATGCCACTCTTTTAACACAAATAGAGTGTTGTCTTAATTCCCGTCCCATTTCTGCTTTAAATAACTCGGTTGATGATTACACAGCGCTAACCCCTGGTCACTTTTTAATGTTAGGTCCACCTAGTGTAGTTCCTCATGAAAATGTGACTGATGTTCCTATTAGCAGACTCAATCGTTGGCAACACATTGAACATATGTTGCAATCATTTTGGAAAAGATGGACACATGAATATTTAGTAACATTACAGCATAGATATAAGTGGCACTCTCCTCAAAACCCTGTTAAAATTAATGACTTAGTTATTGTAAAAAATGAGTGTTTGCCACCATCGAAATGGTTACTTGGTAGAGTAATACAAACTCATCCGGGTAACGACGGAATAGTCCGTGTTGTTACTATCAAGTGTAGTAATAAGATTTTCAAAAGACCCATTACCAAGTTATGTTTATTGCCAATAGATTCATAATTTTAAGGACTAATTCGTCATTGGCTGGCGGCAAATGTTTAATCTTTTTTGTTATGAAGTAAAATGTCAAATAAATTAGTTGTATCAGCGGACATTGGAAGTTTCATTTCTTAATAGTGTGATGTGTGTACAACCATGTATTCATGTGTGATTCTGTATTAAGGCGTAATGAAACCGAACCGTTTTTGAAGAAACTGATAACTCGTGATGGAAAGTAGATCACGTACGATAAGAACGTGCAAAAAAGGTCGAGGTTAAAGGTCGGTCAGGCTGTGGCGAAACCCAGGTTAACTTGCAACAAGGTGATGCTGCGTGTATGGCGGGATTAGAAGGGCATTTTTAATTATGAGCTGTTACTGTCAGGCAAGACCTTTTCTCTATTCTACTGCTACTAACTCTACTGCGTACAACTAATGAGAGTAAAGCAAGAAATTGAGAGAAAGCGGTCAGATTAAATCAATAGAAGGAGTATGGTTTTTTATCATGACAACGCCAGACCTCACACATCTTTTGCCTAAGTGGCAAACATTAAAAGAGTTTTTTTTTATGGAATAGGGGGCAGACGAACAGATGGATCACCTGATGGTAAGTGATTACCGTCGCCCATGGACACCTGCAACACCAGAGGGGCTACAAGCGCGCTAGGTGTGCTGGTAGGTGTTAATGTATCCGCGTTATAGTCCCGACCTTGCACCTTGAGATTTTCACCTATTTCGGTCTCTTCGAAATTATTTAGGTAATGTCAGGTTAACATCACGCGAGGTCTGACAAAACCACTTGTCGCAATTTTGTGATCAGAAGCCCCAAAATGGCAAAAAGTTATCGAACAAAATGGTACCTACATACTTTAGATAAATATAAACTTACTAAAAAAAGTTTTTTTTCCCCAACCTATCATATATTATGATAGTTGCCAATCCTATGCAAAGAAGCGCGCGATAAAATAACTGTTACTGGATGTGTATTTTACTTTTTAATAAAATCCATGAAAATATTAAAATTCTTTCATTTTATAAATCAAAAACCACTATGTAAATGGTTTTGTGGAAAAAAATACTAGTTTCTTGAATTTTAAAAACAAGTAAGTAATGCACATGCATTCAAATCTTAATACCTGGCTTTGGTAAAAAATATATAATGCAATAAAAAAAGTAGAAGTATATCATACTTTTCTTCATTGCTATTCCATATCCCTTGCTGTCCAGTGGTTCACCGACCTGTAAAGAAAGTGATAATTGATACTATGTAACGGTCGCTCGGTCGGCGATAAGGGCCGGTAGGCTGATAGTATGAGTGGACCCGGCGGGCTCCTTGCCGGATCCCGGACCCTTTGCCCACGGCTGGCTACGTTTAAGCCAGGCCTTTTCAGAATGGCTCGGAGAGCCCTGTTTTAAGGTTTTATTTCCCTTGCGTTAAAAAAGCCCATAGGATGGATGACCAAAAATTTATTATCTACAGCTACTCCATACTTCAGAAAGCACGTTAAGCAGTTGGTCCCGGCCATATCTGCAGTGGTTAACATCCACTAATTCTCACTGGACCCGCGTGGTGAATCATAGCCCATTCTCCTTATTCGGTTTGATTCGGTTCCATTCATAGGGAAGAGTTAAGCCCCAGCAGTGGGGACCTTATTCTAGTAAACGCGATGAACGGTGACCAGATATTCTCCAGTAGTCGCTAGTAAGAAGATGACAGAACTGACCATGGTAACCTCGCAGTTCCGTTCTATTGTGTACTCGATGCTGGTGGACTCCATCAAGAAGGCATAGTTTTCAGTCATCACCCTAAAAGAAAACAAATAAAAAAGCGTGTTGAGCAGTCTGGTTGTATATAACCAAATATATTTTCATTTTTCAATGATGCTCTAAAAGTGGAGTACCCATAATTAAAATTTGATTACGATCCAGTTGATGGAAATAAATTATTATTATTAAAATGTACCCCTGTTTGAGCAGTAGGAATAAATCGCTGGGCAAACTATTTAATATCTATAATATCTTTATAATTTTTATTACTCAATAGATATATAAGTTTATCTGCACCCTACTTGTTAATTCCAATATCGTTGTTACTGGGCATTTTTTGTTTACTCATTTCCTGGAACATTTTCTGGTACAACGGGCTCTGGGAATGCTGAAACAAAAAGTTCACTATAAAAAAAATATTTTAGGATAAGCGATGCACTATAATAATGTAAGAACTAAATAGACTGCGATAGTACTTTGGCCAAGATCACAAACCTCGAAGAAGGTGTAGGTGGAGCCGCCAGCCTTTGCGCCGTAGGTGATACCGAACTCGTTGTTAGCGAGCTCGACGACATTGTGGATCAGCTCCGTGGAGGTTTTCTTCGCTAACAGCGTGGCTAGATTGGCTGTGTACGCGTTAGTTATCACCAGCGCAAATATCCACCACACGCTCGCCACCGCCCGACTACCATACGCTCTGAGGAATCAATATTTCTTTTTCAAAATAAAGGTAAAGTAGGTAATGGTTCGTCACCGAAAAATATCAATCGTATGCTCTTTGAATACAGGAGGACGGTGGTTAAAAGCAATTTGTTGCCGATTGCGAAAAGGCCATTGTGGTTCACTACTAAAATATAATACTTGTCGTTATATGTATTACTCACACGGGTGCGATCTCAGATCCCTGCAGCAGGATCGCGCCGAGGTTAAACCAGAGCGCGTTGGCAAGCGTGAACTGGTTCTCGAGCGCCACAGGTTCGTCCACGCACGGGTACGGGTTCTGCCACTCCTCGGGGCACAGCCGCCCCACCACGTACAGCAGCAGGGAAGTGCCAACGTATGCGAAGCCCAGGCACAGCCACACCTCAAATTGACGTTCAAATCTTTTATATTTTACTGCTGTCATTTTTGAATAATTAAATTGTGATAAACATCTTTGAAATACGAACGTGTTGAAAAGAAATTTTCCTCTCTTGAGGTCTAACACATTACGTCAGATCTGATTTGAATGATCTTTTATTTGGTATAAATATCTCGTGCGTAAACGAGAACTTTTCGTTCATCACATACCCCGTTGGAGAAGGGCAGCAGAAATGCGAATAACTCGGGCTCTGGAGGTTGAGGCCGCCGGAACAGGATACTGATGCCGAGGTTCATAAATGTGGTTGTGAAATCGACTACTTCCTCTCGTTCCGCCGTTATCGTCAGGTCCGTAATGGCAAAGTGGATGTCCTAAAATGTTTTCACTGGTGTTATGATATTCACTCATAATAATACTTAGAATTATAGTCTTTGAGGCTTGACCTTCTGTTACTAAATATAAACTTTACCTATGGCATAACAGCATGTTCAATGTTCACGCACTAGATTACTTATCAAGATTGAAAGTTACGTACGGGATCGTCCATGAGCCGTCTCATCATCCCCGTCCACTGCTTCGTCTTATTGTCGAACTTGCCGTAGTCCCCGTCCACCTGCTCCACGAACGTATAATTGAACTGCAGCAACTTCGATAACCGGTTGATCAGCTCAATGCAAAAACCTGACAGATATTATCAAAGTGTGACTCACATTGTCGTAAGCAAATTGAATAGAATAATTTTTAAAATTAAATGAGTTTTATCTTATTTCAAAGCTAGTAACTGAATACATACAACTGTAGTTCTGAGAGTAAAGTTTATATAATAATTCAAATGCAATCGCTCGTTTTCAACTTAACAAAAATATTAATTTGTCCATTTTTCTGTATCACCAGACGAATATTGGAACGAAATGAAACTTTCACAATCGTTAAGTACTCGTACTTATATTGGGAATAAATAATAACACAATTGACTCACCTTCATATCGTTCGTTACCAGATAACCGCTCCGTAGACTCCTGCCTCATGACGTACGGTTTACTCTGCAATGTTATGTTAAAACGTTGGCTTTACAAAATCAACTTCAATATTAATTTTTAATCAATTTATCAGTCGACTCGGTTCTAGGTCTAGGTAATTAATAGCCTTCGCTCTGTTCTATAATGATTAATTATAGGTATGTACGGTCGGCCAAGAAAGTGGTCTACCAGTTTTGACAACATTTCCCGTGTCTTTAAAGCATCGCTAAAGGCGAATCTTAGAATTGCATACAAACAATAAAAGAGATGCACAATGCTGACGTGTTGTCGTAGAGCACAAATGTTATTTTGACCTTTGCAGCCTATGCATTAGATAATAATTTGCAACAACAAATAGTCTTCACAATATTTCATTAATTTAAAATTTATGTAGGTCACTTCAAAGTGGAAACTATTTTGTTACGAAAACTCTTTTACTGAAAAAGAATATATCACTTGACAAATCATGTCAAATATTTTCTCGGCATTTTCCGTAGGTATTTTCCTAATTAATTTACACTACAATGCCCCGAAATTTATCCATTAACGAAAGAGCACAAATAATCGCATTACACAATGATGGTTTGAATATTAGTGAGATTTCTAGAGAATTAAATGTGTCGGTAAGTATTATTATGTCTGACGTGAGTTTAATGTCAAATTTCAGACCAAGTCCGAGTGTAATTTTTTTTTTATTTTTTCTGTTCATATTTTATTTTTGATTATGGAGACAAGCTGTCCGTCTTTGGATAAGGCGAGAAAGCGAGGAGGGGAATTTGAACGCTCGGAGTCGTAGCGGTCGTAGACCTGAAATATCAGATACTCAGCGAGTCTTCATGAGACGGAGTTATGAGGAATCTGGCTTTACGAGGGTCAAACTGAAAGTTCTTAGAAAATCAAAAACTGATTACATTAGCCAGTTATTAGTTTTATTATATCTTTTCAAAATATTGTCCATTCACGTCAATACACCGCTGCATGCTATGGAACCACTGGGAAAAGCACTTTGCCCACTCGTCCTTAGGGGTCTCTTCAATGGCATCGCGATTCGCAGCCACCGCTTCTTCAGCATTCATAAACCGCTTTCCTTTAAGTTTTTCTTTAATTTTTGGAAATAAATAAAAATCACAAGGCGCGAGGTCGGGGCTATACGGCGGGTGACCCAGTAATGCAACGTTTGATGTCGCCAAATAGTCGATCGTTCGCTTGGCGGTGTGCGACGAGGCGTTGTCGTGGTGAAGGAGGATCCTACTGCGAGGTCGTTTCTCTCGAACTTTTTCCAAGACAAGTGGCAAACAATTGGTAGTGTACCATTCTGCAGAAACTGTTTTTTGATCCTCTAACACAATTGTTGCAAAATGACCTATCCTTCCAAAGAACGAGGCCACCATTTTTTTTCCCGCACTTCGATCTCTCTTCACTTTAGTTGGCAACTCCTCGAAAGGAAACACCCACTGAACAGATTGTCTTTTGGTTTTAGGATCATAACAGTAAATCCAGCTTTCGTCACCTGTTAGTATGTCGAACACAGCATTTGAGTCACCTCCGTTAAATCTTTCAATCATTTTACGACACCAATCCACACGATAGAGTTTTTGAGCCTCAGTCAAATTATGAGGTATCCACCGGGCGCAAAGCTTCCTGACCGCTAAATGTTCGTGGAGGATTTTGTGCACTTGACTCATACCGATGCCTAAGCTTGTCCGAATCTGTTGATAGGTCACTCTTTTGTCAGTCTCTATCATACGCCGCACAACACAGATGTTATCTTCAGTCGTCGCCGTAGAAGGCCGTCCCTCACGTAAATCATCAGTGAGATTAGTGCGACCACGTTTAAACTCATTAAACCAGTTGTAAACAGTCGCACGAGATGGGGCTTCATCGTGAAAGGCCAATCGTAGTCTATCATAACTTTCTTGTTGACTTAAATGACATCGAAAGTCATAAAAAATCATTGCACGAAAATTTTCTCGTGTTAAATTCATGATGACGTGACACAGACAATTTTCAATTTGCCGCCAAATCGTAAAACAAATGACAAATGAATGAAATATATACTCAGTAATATTGGCAAAGAGTTATATTTTCAAATTTTAGAATTATTTTTTTATTATATTGTTTATAAGTGGCCAGTTCTAAGAACTTTCAGTTTGACCCTCGTATACCAACGCGTTATTTTGCCGACATATTTGACGTGACTCTCCAAACCATTAGAAACCATTTACATTACATGGGCTTACATCACAGGCGTTATGCAAAGAAAATTTATATGACTGACGCTCATAGAATGGCCAGATTAAATTTCGCCATAGAATATTTGGATTTAGATTGGAGTAACACTGTTTTCTGTGACACGGGCGTCTACACCTTTGGCGATTCAATAAAACGCGATACACGCAAAATCATGTCGTGCCAAATAGAGAATCGGGTCGTATCTCGGTAAATTTGTATGGATGGATGACTGCTGATGGTGTTGGAGACTTGACCTTTTTGCCACCACGAGCAACGGTATCAGATTATGTTGATGTTCTCCAAAATGCTATGTTGCCATCCGTCCGGAACGTTTATCCAGAAAATAAAATGCGTCAATTTAATTATTTACAGGATAACTGTCCCTTACATAAAGCAAGGGTAACACGTGCTTGGTTTGATGCACATCCGGAAATAAACTTGATACCATGGCCTGCAAAATCGCCAGATCTCAACCCTATTGAAAATATGTCGGGTCTTATGGTTCAGAGATGGTGTAACCGTAATGAACGAACAGCAGAAGCACTACAAGGGCACTGCAATGAGGTTTGGGAGGAAACACGTGGGTCTGATATCTGCTCAAGACTGGTGGGCTCGATGAGGGAACGTCTCCAAGCTGTTATAGAGGCAGATGGCGGCTACACAAGATTTTAAGAATTATAATTTTATAAAAGAATTGTATATATTTTTTAACAACCAAAGAATTAGCATTTTCACTATCTCTTCTAGTTTTGGCCCTTGTCTCGCACTAAGCTATGGGTCGGCGCAATATGTTTTTCGTCGCTATTCATTTCTGTTATCCGTTATCTCAGTATATTCAGACCTATAACACGCATAGCTTCTTACGCATAGCATTTCACTACCTACCGTTTTTTTTGTATTTGTATTAAAATATAATTAATCTACATTCTAATGTAGAGATATTTGTAGACTATAAGACTTTATTTACGATATTCTAACTCTAAAGTATTTAAACATACAAACAGACAGACAGAAAAAAAAATATTTTTGGCTTCTATTAGTCTCATGAAGGCCGTCCATATATTTTTTTTCCAAAATATCTTACAAATGTAACCTTGTTACATTTTTATTATAGGTATAGATAATTACTGTCTTTCTTGGCCGACTGTACCAACCTATGTCCTACAGACTTTGAAACTCGTATTTATTATTGTTCAATATATGTATTATTTTGGTAATGACATGATTTATGTAAATGTCATTACTTATGATAAAAAGCTGGTAAGTTTCTTTCGCTTGTTCTTCTTGTCAGCTAAAAGACGTCCTGAACAAGTAGTAGGGGAAAAATTTTTTTTGGACGATTCGAAAGTGCTTGTAACACAAGCTTACTTGAATAAAAACATTTTCATTTCATTTTCATTTCAGACAAACGATCTGGCGTCAAATGAATCGTGATTTTGATCAGATCGATCGTTTAATGTGTCGATTGATACCAGAATGATATGGATAATTATCCGGATATTTGAATCATCGTCATTGAGCAAGTTCGATCTGATCACGAACCGGATCGACGTCTAACGGCCAGGTCGGGGTCGTTACCATAGCTATGAGGACGGTGAAGGTCCGGTTGGTCATGGAGTCGCGCGGGCGCGGCGGCGCGGGGCGCGGGCGGCGGGTCCACTGCAGCCCCGCGCGCGCCCACGCGCCCGCCGCCTGCAGCCGGCCCCCGCGCGCCAGCTCGGCCACGCGCAGCCGCACCTCGCGCCGGGCCCCGTCCGCTTCCCAGGACGCGTCGCCGAGGCCGCTCCAGTCCTCGGAGCGCACGTAGTTGAGCAGAGTGTCCGCGTGGAAGGCGCCCGCGCCGCGCCCGCAGTCCGCGCCCGCCGCCACGGGCAGCCGCAGCCGCTCCTGCGCCTCCGCCACTAGCCTGAAGCGAACCGTCGACCGAGGGAGTTGTAATAATCGATAGGTCCTTTGACGTGCGTGCGCGTCCCTAAACGATCACCGAACGATTTTAAATCGAATCAAAGCTTCATTTGTATAAACAGTTATTAACTACATGCGTAGCGCCCAAATATCGAATTATAATTAAAATAAAAAAGTCAAAAATTTACTTAAACCATATTGGTTATCAGCTAAAACGTATTGTGAATTTAAAAATGTTATAAGTCTATAGTTAAGAATTTTTCTAGTAATATAGATAGTATAGTTAGTCCTGACATAGGTCTGAAATTGTTTATGCTAACGTCTCCACGCTTATGTATCGGATGTACCAAAGCTTTCTTAAAGATTCCTGGAAAAATCCCAGATGCAATGCAAAGATTAAACACGCGACATATGATAGGTATCAGAACATGCTTAGCGGCCAAAGACAAAAAAAAAGGCGTATCCTTAAATTAAAATAAAAAATATATGCATAGTGGCGGAGTGGCGCAAAATCATGTTTCTGCCTCGGTTGGAAAAAGTTGTAAAATAGGTAATAATAAAAATATTAATAAAAAATTTGATCTACATTATATGCAAACGTACTC